AAATGTCCCAGTTCTTCCATGGCCTGCATACTCACCAGACATGTCACACATTGAGCATGTTTGAGATGATCTGGATCGACGTATATGACAGCGTGTTCCAGTTCCCACCAATATCCAGCAACTTCGCACAGCCATTGAAGAGGAGTGGGACAACATTCCACAGGCCACAGTCAACAGCCTGATCAACTCTATGCGAAGGAGATGTGTCACGCTGCATGAGGCAAATGGTGGAAACACCAGATACTGACTGGTTTTCTGATCCAACAGACACATATCTGTGTTCCCAGTCATGTGAAATCCATAGATAAGGGCCTAATTTTTTTATTTCAATTGACTGATTTCCTTAAATGAACTGTGACTCAGTAACATTTTTGAAATTGTTGCATGTTGCGTTTATATTTTTGTTCAGTATAAAAACATTTTTGTCATTATTCAGATTCTTGTCAGTAAGGCCAAAATCATAGTCATAACCATAGTAAATAAACCCTTATTTTGGAGCTAGGGGTCGAGAGCCTGACAGTCTCTTTCCTACATATCAGCTTTGCCATTAGACGATTGCACATTTTAGAAGAACTTATACTCTATTTTAATCAAGGTCATTGGCTGGGCGCGTGTGATTATTTCCGTTACCCTGTTGCTGATTGCCAGACATGACCTTATCCCATCATAAGGGTACCGTTTATGTGAGAATGATTCACACATTCTTTGGAGCAGCTGATGTGGTTGTGAGATAGCAACTGGAGCCAAACCCTGTCAGAAGCGGCTCTGTCTAAAGTGCTTTGTCATTTGTCTGTCCTTGGTGATGTATTCATACAATTATATGAGTCTAATAGAACGAGTATACAGTGGGGAGAACAAGTATTTGATACACTGCCGATTTTTCAGGTGTTCCTACTTACAAAGCATGTAGAGGTCTGTAATTTTTATCATAGGTACACTTCAACTGTGAGAGACAGAATCTAAAACAAAAATCCAGAAAATCACATTGTATGATTTTTAAGTAATTAATTTGCATTTTATTGCATGACATAAGTATTTGATCACCTACCAACCAGTAAGAATTCCGGCTCTCACAGACCTGTTAGTTTTTCTTTAAGAAGCCCTCCTGTTCTCCACTCATTACCTGTATTAACTGCACCTGTTTGAACTCGTTACCTGTATAAAAGACACCTGTACACACTCAATCAAACAGACTCCAACCTCTCCACAATGGCCAAGACCAGAGAGCTGTGTAAGGACATCAGGGATAAAATTGTAGACCTGCACAAGGCTGGGATGGGCTACAGGACAATAGGCAAGCAGCTTGGTGAGAAGGCAACAACTGTTGGCGCAATTATTAGAAAATTGAAGAAGTTCAAGATGACGGTCAATCAACCTCGGTCTTGGGCTCCATGCAAGATCTCACCTCGTGGAGCATCAATGATCATAAGGAAGGTGAGGGATCAGCCCAGAATTACACGGCAGGACCTGGTCAATGACCTGAAGAGAGCTGGGACCACAGTCTCAAAGAAAACCATTAGTAACACACTACGCCGTCATGAATTAAAATCCTGCAGCGCACGCAAGGTCCACCTGCTCAAGCCAGTGCATGTCCAGGCCCGTCTGAAGTTTGCCAATGACCATCTGGATGATCCAGAGGAGGAATGGGAGAAGGTCATGTGGTCTGATGAGACAAAAATAGAGCTTTTTGGTCTAAACTCCACTCGCCGTGTTTGGAGGAAGAAGAAGGATGAGTACAACCCCAAGAACACCATCCCAACTGTGAAGCATGGAGGTGGAAACATCATTCTTTGGGGATGCTTTTCTGCAAAGGGGACAGGACGACTGCACCGTGTTGAGGTGAGGATGGATGGGGCCATGTATCGCGAGATCTTGGCCAACAACCTCCTTCCCTCAGTAAGAGCATTGAAGATGGGTCGTCGCTGGGTCTTCCAGCATGACAACGACCCGAAACACACAGCCAGGGCAACTAAGGAGTGGCTCCGTAAGAAGCTTCTCAAGGTCCTGGAGTGGCCTAGCCAGTCTCCAGACCTGAACCCAATAGAACATCTTTGGAGGGAGCTGAAAGTCCGTATTTCCCAGCGACAGCCCCAAAACCTGAAGGATCTGGAGAAGGTCTGTATGGAGGAGTGGGCCAAAATCCCTGCTGCAGTGTGTGCAAACCTGGTCAAGACCTACAGGAAACGTATGATCTGTAATTGCAAACAAAGGTTTCTGTACCAAATATTAAGTTCTGCTTTTCTGATGTATCAAATAATTATGTCATGCAATAAAATGCAAATTAATTACTTAAAAATCACACAATGTGATTTTCTGGATTTTTGTTTTAGATTCCGTCTCTCACAGTTGAAGTGTACCTATGATAAAAATGACAGACCTCTACATGCTTTGTAAGTAGGAACACCTGAAAAATCGACAGTGTGTCAAATACTTGTTCTCCCCACTGTATATATGCATCAGGTGGCACTGATTGTATATATTTTTCTATTCTGTTTACAGGGGGCGGGCCAGTCGTAAATTTAGAACAACAGAGAAAAGGAAGGCCACCCCTTCCTCCGTCTGATTTTACAGGTCTTCCATCACATCCATGACATGTGGAGTAAATCAATAGAAAGGGAATAATGGATGACAGATGGTTGTCGGAGGAGAGCAAACACACTCCCTATAGAGAGCTGGTATAGTTTTACGTCCCTCCTGTGTCAAATTCTCACACACACACACACACACACCCCAGCCCTCCAGCTGAGCCCCTCCCCCCAGGTTAGCCGGAATGTCTCAGCTGAAATGGAGCCTCTGGTCGCAGCCGGACATAGTGACCAAGCCCTTTCAGCCTCTTGCATCAGATGTTGTCATCCTGGCTGTTTGTCAGGAAACTATTAGTCTATTAACAGCACTGGGCATATATTCCTAGGGTAGACATAGCTTATCCATCCACAATATATCTTTATATAATTATTGTTATTTCATATGCTGTAGTTCATCTTGTGCCTATATAACCTAGTTAGTTTATTGTTATTCCCAGAACTGAATACATAAAGTTGTATTGTCATAGCTAGTTACAAGGCTGAGTAAGAGCCATAGATGTTAGAGAATAAGTGCATGCCAGACAGCTGCCGTAATGCCATTCCTGCACCCAGCCCTTCTCTCTGTGAATGGCTGTGGTTTCCCCCTTTATTCAATCAGTCATTGCACAGATTTGGGCAGTGAGCAGGCAACCAGCAGCTAAAATAGCCACCATTGTTCTGAAAATGGACTAATGAATGACAAAAAAGGGGAAAGAAGGCCGTGAGGCGGGAAGAGGAGGAGGTGAGGGGAGGTCATCCATTGTTCCTTGTTGCCTTTATTTTCCCTCGGTCTTCCCATGGGATGGTTGTTTGTTACGGAGGGCCCAGTGCGGCTTTGTTAGCTAGCCTGCTTTGAGGTCAGTAAAGCTGGGATGGTGCCAAATCTCACCTCCCACACCGCCCCTGTGTCTCACTCACTTTAATGTAATACACAGAGGAAACAGATAGATGCTGAGGGAGAAGCCAGCTCTTTTCTTGGCCTGGTCTAAGGGCATGCTTTCCTCTGTCTTTAAAGAGCTTCATCCAGATTTCAACAGACACTGGATAATTATTCTCAGAACCCGTTGTGCGCTGGTCTTTCCTCAGAAGAGATTACTGGATAATTTGTTTATATTTCTATATGTTTTTCTCCCTTAATTTTACAAAAGCTTTATTTATCAAATGTAAATATTTAAATGTAGAGTATATCAAAGCTGCATCATGAAATAAGTCATAAAGTTCTTAAGCAAAAATACAAAACATATTTGTCAATTTGTTTTATTTTTCCATTTGCTACAATGTACGTTTTTTGTGCGTTTCTACATAGAGAACACTAGCCAAAAAACAACACAAGTGTATTTTGCTGTTATCGTAAACAAAGTGTAACTAATATGACTAATAAGGTATTAAGACTAATATGGTAACATGTTGTTTTATTGTATGTTAGTTATACTTTGACACTGTATTGTGAAATGCTTTATTAAAAGTAAGGCAAACTGTTCTTCTAAGATTTCAAACCATGCACTGCTGCTTGTGTGTGAGTTTAAATATCAAATTATAATCATAAATAACACTTTTCACTGGAATAAGTCAAGGGGTATGAATACTTTCTGAAGGCACTGTATATATATCAATTGGAGTCCTTATGAAATTGACTTACTTAAGATGTTAAGATACAAGTTGCCACTAGAAAAACAAGCTCCTAGGTGTTGTGCAGTGAAATACCTTGGTTCTCAAGAGGAATGTGGCACTTTTGCTCTAATAGATTTTCTTCAAACAGTGCAATCAAATCAAGTATCAATTAATGGCAGTTCGGAATGCTTTGACTTTCAAATGTCCTTTATTTGGTTTCTAATTGTTACTTTTGTCCTCCAAAGACAAGGAGTGGTGGATGGGCTAATAAAAATACAAAATAAAAACAAGAAGGAAAAAAAAGGCTATTCAAACATCAAGTTGTAAAACCTAAAAAAATGGCACTCAATGTCTTGCGATGGAGTAGGTACAATGGTGGTTTGTATCAGCAGGGTGTTCACCAAGGCACAACTTTGGTTTTTGAAAACAGCAGAAATATTTTATGGTCTGTGCTATCCGGGATCCTTGGGACATCCCTACCCCATTGAAGTTGACATTTTTAATGGTGTAGGTAAAGGTTATAGTTAGGGTTAAGTTAAGGGTAGGGGTTAAGGTTAGGGTTTAGGGTAGGGACGTCCCAAGGATTCCGGATAGCACTGACTCCTATTTTACTGCTCAGCCAATTACAAATTGAATTGTCATGACATTCTGTGACATAGTACATTCATGTTTGGATGAAATTATCTTTTCATTTACTTTTCACTTTGAGGATCAATATGAATCAATGCTCAAATTCAAAGCCTATAAAGTGTAAATAGTTTTACACTCTCAATAACATTTGGTACTTCTACTTTACTCCTTATAGAAACCATGCTGAAATTGTTCCTATTCTTCCCCAGATGACCAGGAGTCTCCCTCATCTTCAGAACCTTCAGAAGTAACATTCACACCCTCCACCACTTCTCTACACACCAGCTGCTTCACTTGTGGGGGCATCTGTTTGTCCTCTTCTTCAAGGGTGGACGCTTTAGGTGTGTCACTGTCCATCTTGGTGTTCCAATTGGCCGCCTGTGGATTCTCCAAATCCACCCAGGATAGGTTGTCAGCCAAGTCTAGGTTCTGATTGGGTAGCTCGGTCACATGGTCATATGGCTCATCCGGTTGATAGGGGGCTCCTGTCTCCAGATTGGAACCCCAGAAGTTGTTGTGTACACCAGAGCTGAGGAAGCTGTGGAGGTCCCGGCCTTTGCTGTCAGTTTTGGATGATCTCTCTGAGTCTCTCTTGTGACCTGCAAAAGGATCTCCAGATTCTAGGTGTTTGTTTGGACTTTCTAAGACTTCCCATTCATCTGTCTGAAGACATTCATGGCTTGCCTGATTGCTAGTGACCTCCTCTAAAGAATGTTCTATAAGAGCATTGCAATCCTCATAGTGGGAGACCGCCACATCTAACAAGTCTTTCTGATCTGCAGTTAGATTTGCTTTGGTGACAGGTTGCAAATACTGGCTTGCATTTGGCGACTCATCATCTATGCTGTTGGACTCTTCTATATCCAAGTTGTTCATGTTGGTTTGACTCTCAAGCCTGCTATTTAAACTGCTGTGGATAGAATGGCTTTCAGTGAAGTCTGCATGAGTCAGCATAGAAAGCTTCTGGTCATCCTCTCCTATTTTGTCTGGTACAACTTCAGTTCCCAGTCCCCTACTGAAGACCTTACCTTGAGCCAAATATTCTGCTTTGGACATTTCTACTGAACTTTCTCTAAGAGATGTGTGTTCAGATGTCATTAGAATCGTAGAGTGCACCGAATACATAACCTCTGAGGAAATACACTCTTGCTCAGACTGATTCAGTTTCTCTCCACCTGAAGGTATATGCTCTTGCTTAGACTGATTCAGTTTCTCTCCGCCTGAAGGTATGTACTGCTGTTCAGATTGATTCAGTTTCTCTCCACCTGAAGGTATATACTCTTGCTCGGATTGATTCAGTTTTTCTCCACCTGAAGGTATATGGTCTTGCTCATACTGATTCAGTTTCTCTCCGCCTGAAGGTATGTACTGCTGTTCAGATTGATTCAGTTTCTCTCTGCCTAATGGTATATACTCTGGCTCAGATTGATTCATTTTCTCTCCCTTTGAAGGTATACACTCAGGCTCAGATTGATTCATTTTCTCTTCGTCTGAGGGTATGTGTTCTTGCTCATATAGATTTAGTTTCTCTCCACCTAAAGGTATATTCTCTTGCTCAGATTGATTCAGTTTCTCTCCGCCTGAGGGTATATACTCTTGTTCAGATTGATTCAGTTTCTCTCCGCCTAATGGGATATTCTCTTGCTCGGATTGTTTCAGTTTCTCTCCGCGTAAAGGTATATTCTCTTGCTCGGATTGATTCAGTTTTTCTCCATTTGAAGGTATATGCTCTTGCTCAGATTTATTCCGTTTCTCTCCGCCTGAAGGTATATACTCGGGCTCGGATTGATTCAGTTTCTCTCCACCTGAAGGTATATACTCGGGCTCGGATTGATTCAGTTTCTCTCCACCTGAAGGTATATACTCGGGCTCGGATTGATTCAGTTTCTCTCCGTCTGAAGGTATATACTCGGGCTCGGATTGATTCAGTTTCTCTCCACCTGAAGGTATGTACTGCTGTTCAGATTGATTCAGTTTCTCTCCACCTGAGGGTATATACTCTTGTTCAGATTGATTCAGTTTCTCTCCGCCTGAAGGTATATGCTCTTGCTCTGATTTATTCAGTTTCTCTCCGCCTGAAGGTATACACTCAGGCTCAGATTGATTCATTTTCTCTCCGTCTGAGGGTATGTGTTCTTGCTCATATAGATTCAGTTTCTCTCCACCTAAAGGTATATGCTCTTGTTCAGATTGATTCAGTTTTTCTCCGCCTAAAGGTATATGCTCTTTTTCAGATTGATTCAGTTTCTCTCCACCTGAAGTTATATACTCATGTTCAGATTGATTCAGTTTCTCTCCACCTAAAGGTATATTCTCTGGCTCGGATTGATTCATTTTCTCTCTGTTTGAAGGTATATACTCTGACTCGGATTGATTCAGTTTCTCTCCGCGTAAAGGTATATTCTCTTGCTCAGATTTATTCCGTTTCTCTCCGCCTGAAGGTATATACTCGGGCTCGGATTGATTCAGTTTCTCTCCACCTGAAGGTATATACTCGGGCTCGGATTGATTCAGTTTCTCTCCACCTGAAGGTATATACTCGGGCTCGGATTGATTCAGTTTCTCTCCACCTGAAGGTATGTACTGCTGTTCAGATTGATTCAGTTTCTCTCCACCTGAGGGTATATACTCTTGTTCAGATTGATTCAGTTTCTCTCCACCTGAGGGTATATACTCTTGTTCAGATTGATTCAGTTTCTCTCCGCCTGAAGGTATATGCTCTTGCTCTGATTTATTCAGTTTCTCTCCGCCTGAAGGTATACACTCAGGCTCAGATTGATTCATTTTCTCTCCGTCTGAGGGTATGTGTTCTTGCTCAAATAGATTCAGTTTCTCTCCACCTAAAGGTATATGCTCTTGTTCAGATTGATTCAGTTTTTCTCCGCCTAAAGGTATATGCTCTTTTTCAGATTGATTCAGTTTCTCTCCACCTGAAGTTATATACTCATGTTCAGATTGATTCAGTTTCTCTCCACCTAAAGGTATATTCTCTGGCTCGGATTGATTCATTTTCTCTCTGTTTGAAGGTATATACTCTGACTCGGATTGATTCAGTTTCTCTCCGCGTAAAGGTATATTCTCTTGCTCAGATTTATTCCGTTTCTCTCCGCCTGAAGGTATATACTCGGGCTCGGATTCATTCAGTTTCTCTCCACCTGAAGGTATATACTCGGGCTCGGATTGATTCAGTTTCTCTCCACCTGAAGGTATGTACTGCTGTTCAGATTGATTCAGTTTCTCTACACCTGAGGGTATATACTCTTGTTCAGATTGATTCAGTTTCTCTCCGCCTGAAGGTATATGCTCTTGCTCTGATTTATTCAGTTTCTCTCCGCCTGAAGGTATACACTCAGGCTCAGATTGATTCATTTTCTCTCCGTCTGAGGGTATGTGTTCTTGCTCATATAGATTCAGTTTCTCTCCACCTAAAGGTATATGCTCTTGTTCAGATTGATTCAGTTTTTCTCCGCCTAAAGGTATATGCTCTTTTTCAGATTGATTCAGTTTCTCTCCACCTGAAGTTATATACTCATGTTCAGATTGATTCAGTTTCTCTCCACCTAAAGGTATATTCTCTAGCTCGGATTGATTCATTTTCTCTCTGTTTGAAGGTATATACTCTGACTCGGATTGATTCAGTTTCTCTCCACCTAAAGGTATATTCTCTGGCTCGGATTCATTCATTTTCTCTCTGTTTGAAGGTATATACTCTGACTCGGATTGATTCAGTTTCTCCCCGCCTGAAGGTATATGCTCTTGCTCAGATTGATTCATTTTCTCTCTGTCTGAGGGTATATGTTCTTGCTCATATATATTCAGTTTCTCTCCGCCTGAAGTTATATACTCTTGTTCAGATTGATTCATTTTCTCTCCGCCTAAAGGTATATTCTCTGGCTCTGATTCATTCATTTTCTCTCCGTCTGAGGGTATGTGTTCTTGCTCATATAGATTCAGTTTCTCTCCACCTGAAGTTATATACTCATGTTCAGATTGATTCCGTTTCTCTCCGCCTAAAGGTATATTCTCTTGCTCGGATTGATTCAGTTTCTCTCCGCCTGAAGGTATATACTCTGATTCGGATAGATGCAGTTTCTCTCCGTCTGAGGGTATGTGTTCTTGCTCATATATATTCAGTTTCTCTCCGCCTGAAGTTATATACCCTGGCTCAGATTGATTCAGTTTCTCGCCGCCTGAGGTTATATGCTTTTGCTCAGTTTGATTCAGTCTCTCTGAGTGTATCTGCTCTACCTCCTCACTGTATAACATGTCTTGTGTCTGGGAAAGTTCAGTGTGAGACTCAATTTGAAGACTCAGTACTGACTCGCTCTCAATCATCTGCCCAGTAAAGTGTTCATTGTAACTGGATATAGATAAATTCTCTAACTCTTGCTCCACCAATCTATCAATTATTTCTTCATTATAGTCCTCATCAGAGCACATAATGGAGTACTCTCCAGGTTCTGTAAGTTCCTCATAGGATTGCTCCTCTTCTGCCTTCTGAATCAACTGATCTACAGCATTCTCCTCATTGTTCTCCTGTGTAGCATGCTCCTTTGTTTGGCTAGCATCCATGTCCTCTGTGTGAGTGGAGCCCATGTTACTTTCCTGATCTATGACATCCCCTTCTGACTCTTCATACAGATCTTCCATGGTGTCAAACTGTTTGGACTTGCCTTCGCCCCAGGTGCCTGTTGCTGTCTGGCCAACCTCCCTGTCCTCTTCACCATCACTGGAGTCACTTTCGCCCATGTGTGAAGCCTGAGTGTTGGTATCTGTCTCGTCGCTCTTGTAACGGATCAGGGGGTGTGTGTCGGCCAGTGTGTTGTCCTGAGAGTAGCTGTTTCCTTCTAGCTCAGCCCTCCATAAAACAGAAGTATTTTGAGAGTAGTTTGCCTCATCATCATCCTCTTTGTCAGATATATTCAGTTTCTCTCTGCCTGAAGGTATATGCTTTTGCTCAGACTGATTCAGTTTCTCTCCGCCTGATGGTATATACTCTTGATCAGACCGATTGGGTTGGGTTTCTCTGTTATTCCTCATCTCTTCCGCTTTCATGTGATCCTTTCCTTCTTTCCAATCATCCGTTCTTTCTCTAATTCCATTCTCCTCATTGTACCCTTCCACTCTATCCCATTCATCCATTACATCCCCATTGGGGTGCAATGCATATTGTTCCTCACGTTTATTAAACATATCATTTTCATCATCCCCTTTTCTGAAATGTATATCACCTTCCTCCACTCTTTCAACATGGTGAAATACCTCTTCTGACCAGTGAGAAGCTTGAGCAGATTCATATGAGATATTCTCCTCTTGGTTGAACTCATCGATTCTTTCTGTCATATCATGTTCCTTATTGAACCCTCCCAGTCTTTCCCAATTATCCTTACCATACCCATAGGGGTGCAATTCAGCTTCCGATTGCTCCTCATCTTTGTTAGACATATCATTTTCATCATCCTCTTTTGTGAGATTAATAACATCTTCCTCCACTCTTTTAACATGGTGAAAGGCCTCGTCTGAACCGTGGGATGCTTGAGCAGATTCATATGACATATTGTCCTCTTGATTGAACTCTATTGGCTTGTTGTAACCACTTTTCCCCACCCCATACTCAAAAGCTTGACTGCTTGTGAATGTCTCAAATGCTTGTTCTAGCACTGATGCAGTTTCAGATTCCAAGCCTTCATTTCCCACCCATTCAGCATCTTTCCTTGCTGTTTCAAGATCTCTTTCCTCCGATGCATTCAGATCTAGTAGAGGTTCCTCTTTTTCAGAAAACATTTCAAAACGTACATCATTATCATTATTCGCTGAGCAACCAGAATGTGCTCTCTCATAGCTCACTGAAGGGCTGTAGAGCTCTTGAGCATGAGTGCTGAACACAGTTGGCATACTGAAGCTGGTCTCAACCTGGTGGCTCATGGTAGATTCCATAACTGGTTTCTCTTCAGCAACCCAGGTTCTGACTATGTTCTGATCCTCTTCCTCCTTTTCCATATCCCACATGGATTGTTCCTTATGGTCAGATCCAAGCCAAGATACAACATCAGCTCCTGCCTCTTCAGTGGGAGGTGAGAGAGGTTCAGCATAGTTGACTTCTTCATGGACATCTTGGGGTCTGAAGTGGTCGACTGATATTCCGTCCTGTGGTACTTTGGCGTAAGGTGTTGACCAACTTACCTGCCGGTTGGACCCTACGCCAAAGTCAACCTGCCTTTCCTCTGTCTTTCGACAACTCTCAGGTGTTTCATTGAGGGTTACCCGATTTTGAGTCCAGATTGGTGATGCGGACATCATTGTTACATTGGATCGTGGGCTTGCTCCATGGATGGTAGAGATAGGACTGATAATGTGACTGGTAGCCAGCTGTGTCTTGAAGCTTTGCTTAACCCCTCGAGAGCTGGGCACTCCATCTGTGAATGGCATAGGAAGACTATTGAATAGGTATACCATACATAATGGTAATAGTAGACCACAGGCCAGGGTCTATCATAGATAGACATCAATAAAGTTGAAATGACACTGACAATAATATTGGCAATAACAGGAAACATTCACCAATGCTTTGATTGCTTTTTGATTGCAAATCTCTGCCTATTCCAAAATGTCTTCAGTTTTATCTTAGGTTGACAGAGATCTCGAAAACCCCAACCCAAAGGCAATATTAGGAAACATGTTCTCCTGAACAGAGTTTAGACAGTAATGGAGAGATATTGATCATGACTTCCTTCCCCTCCAGTCTGAATTACCGGAAAGCAAAGCCATATGGCTCAATTACCTTTGGGGACCCTCTTAGTTAGCTTGCGTTACAGAGCACAAAGTGCCTAGCTCAGTCCCCTAACCACCCCACACCATCCCCCACACTCTTTTTGGTCTAATGTGATTACAGTGCCTTGCAAAAGTATTCATCCCCCTTGGCGTTTTTCCTATTTTGTTGCATTACATCCTGTAATTTAAATTGATTTTTATTTGGATTTCATGTAATGGACATACACAAAATAGTCCAAATTGGTGAAGTGAAATTAAAAAAAGAACTTATTTCAAAAAATTCTAAAAAAGAAATAATGGAAAAGTGGTGCGTGCATATGTATTCACCCTCTTTGCTATGAAGCCCCTAAATAAGATCTGGTGCAACCAATTACCTTCAGAAGTCACATAATTAGTTAAATAAAGTCCACCTGTGTGCAATCTAAGTGTCACATGATCTGTCACATGATCTCAGTATATATACACCTGTTCTGAAAGGCCCCAGAGTCTGCAACACCACTAAGCTAGGGGCACCACCAAGCAAGCAGCACCATGAAGACCAAGGAGCTCTCCAAACAGGTCAGGGACAAAGTTGTGGAGAAGTACAGATCAGGGTTGGGTTATAAAAAAATATCAGAAACTTTGAACATCCCACGGAGCACCATTAAATCCATTATTAAAAAATTGAAAGAATATGGCACCACAACAAATCTGCCTAGAGAGGAACGCCCACCAAAACTCACGGACCAGGCCAGGAGGGCATTAATCAGAGAGGCAACAAAAAGACCAAAGATAACCCTGAAGGGGCTGCAAAGCTCCACAGCAGAGATTGGAGTATCTGTCCATAGGACGACTTTAAGCCGTACACTCCACAGAGCTGGCCTTTACGGAAGAGTGGCCAGAAAAAAGCCATTGCTTAAAGAAGAAAATAAGCAAACACGTTTGGTGTTCGCCAAAGGGCAAGTTGGAGACTCACCAAACATATGGAAGAAGGTACTCTGGTCAGATGAGACTAAGATTGAGCTTTTTGGCCATCAAGGAAAGCGCTATGTCTGGCGCAAACCCAACACCTCTCATCACCCCGAGAACACCATCCCCACAGTGAAGCATGGTGGTGGCAGCATCATGCTGTAGGGATGTTTTTCATTGGCAGGGACTGGGAGACTAGTCAGGATCGAGGCAAAGATGAACGGAGCAAAGTACAGAGAGATCCTTGGTGAAAACCTGCTCCAGAGCGCTCAGGACCTCAGACTGGGGCGAAGGTTCACATTCCAACAGGACAACGACCCTAAGCACACAGCCAAGACAACGCAGGAGTGGCTTCGGGACAAGTCTCTGAATGTCCTTGAGTGGCCCAGCCAGAGCCCGGACTTGAACCCGATCGAACATCTCTGGAGAGACATGAAAATAGCTGCACAGCAACGCTCCCCATCCAACCTGACAGAGCTTGAGAGGATCTGCAGAGAATAATTGGAGAAACTCCACAAATACAGGTGTGCCAAGCTTGTATCGTCATACCCAAGAAGACTCGATGTTGTAATCGCTGCCAAAGGTGCGTCAACAAAGTACTGAGTAAAGGGTGTGAATACTTATGTAAATGTGATATTTACGTTTTTTGGGGGGGGGTTTGCAAACATTTCTAAAAACCTGTTTTTGCTTTGTCATTATGGGGTATTGTGTGTAGATTGATGAGGGAAAAAACTGTTTATTCAATTTTAGAATAAGGCTGTAACGTAACAAAATGTGGAAAAAGTCAAGGGGTCTGAATACTTTCCAAAGGCACTACAATACAGTACAATACAGAGTCAGGATTCGCCCACCTTAAGGATAAGGAAGATGCCTCTTGGTTTTTAGTAAAATTATACAGTAACAGGAGTACATGTCAATATCATGTTGTACTACAACACAGTCACTGATATAGCTGGTTGATTCCTGAATGAAGTGATAATTTACCAGACATGTAGGTACTCCTTAGCTGATTTGTTGAAGAGAAATCCCCCATCAGACTTTCATTGTCCAGTAAAGCTCTGAAGAAAAAGAACACACATAGACAAATGAGAGAAGGATTCATAAAGGGAAAGTCATGTAATCTTTTTTTGCATCACTATCTAGAAAATCATATGTCCTGGTTAGAAGCAGCTTGAATACTAATATTACAAAGAACCAAAATAATTTTAGTTTGGCCATACTAGGGGGTATTCTGAAATGATGTGTCATAGGGTGGGGTGAGAGGAGTGAAGGGGGAGGGCTTTTGTTGCCAACATGAGATCTGTTGTTATGGAAATGTAGGGACGACATTGTCATTGACGAGCCATCTGCAGTGCACACCACTGCCATCAATTCCCCCTCTCACATACTCACAGCCTAAAATACAGGCATGCACGCCCTGACATTCTGATTAGCTCAAGCAGAACTACAATACAATTTGTATTCACAGATGTGGACCATGCCCATTCCAACACACATTCAGACCAGCATCTCTAATGAAACAATACTTATAAATACTTATAAACTGGTGCACATGAATATCCCAATATGATCCCAGAATGACATTCTGTACTGTATAGGTGCAGATAATATGAATTTAATGCATTTAGTAAATCTCTTTGAGACTTGCTCTCTGCTTCTCCCCCTGCCTCTTATTCCTGTTACTCTAGACTCCCATAGCTCATACGTTGGTCATTCCCTGCTGATACCTTGGGGTCACTATGGAGGGGGAAGAGGCCAAGGGAAAGAGAGAGGCGCCACTATAGAGGCCCATATAAAGTTACCCTGCTCAAGACAGCCGAGACTGGCCTTTTCAAGGTGATGACCTTTAGGCCAGACGGCTGAGCCCCATTGGACAACAGACCTTGGACATCTACATATTGTTCCACATTCTCACAGGGGGAGGGGTGATGGGGCTCAGTCTTAACTCCCAGTTGAAAAGGCATCTCTGAATGTTGTAAACTAGACATCTGAATCAGTATTGGCATGGGGCTAATAATGATGGCTTTCTCACAAATCGGCAAAAAAAGAAAAATAACTCTTGGAAAATAATAATATGCCATTTAGCAGACACTTTTATCCAAAGCGACTTACAGTCATGTGTGCATAATTTTTTTTTTTTTTACGTATGGGTGGTCCCGGGGATCGAACCCACTACCCTGGCTTTACAAGCGCCATGCTCTACCAATTGAGCTACAGAGGACCACGAAGAAGAAGGGGAAAATATTAGTGAAGATGGGATGAGTGGAACATTAACCTCAATTTCCATATTCTGATCGGCAGGCTTTTCTACAGATATCAAACATACGTGGGCTTGGTGTTGCTTTTTTCAGCTGTTGACGCTTTTATTTGAACCTTCCCACGCCTCTCTTACATAAAATAATGACTACCTCTGATCACCTTTGGCTGTGTGCCAATGGTCTTTCATGGCTTCCTCCCCTTGTCTCCTTTTCCTCTACAGCTGATAAGTAAAATATTTGGATGGATTGCCATCATAATGCTTTCACCTGTTATGGTCTATCAGATCAGTGGTTGGGAAGAAAAACAGACAAGGAAAACAAGCTAGTTAAGACTGAAGTCCAACTTGAGATCATTTTATACAACTAATGTTTTCAAGCAAAGCTCCAATTGACATCAATGCATGATTTACTAGTTACCCTTTAGCATTTGGCCCAAAATGTCTATAGTTTAGTGCTAAAGGGATGATGAGAGAAGTATGTGGTGTCTGATATATGTACTGAGATGTATCGTACCTGTATGTGGCCACCTCCATGCCTAGAGACATCTTCAGCTGCAGCAGACCCCTACTTTCTATCAGGAGAGTGTCAATCTGATCTCCCAGAGCCCCCTTCTCCATCTCCAACACCTCCAGATGGGCCTGTGGAACAGGAAAAGGGAAGATAATTTATTAGAAATGGCATTGTTGTCATCCAACTATAGCACATGAACAGGTATTGAAGGCACTGAATTCTGGTTCCTGGCCCCATGGCAAGAGCTTATGCCCAGAATAGAACATAGAATGTTCCATATTGTGTTCCCTGCATCTAATGGTTGGGCCCCAGTCTGGATTTTTTACCTTTCTGGACAAATTATGACCTGGAACTAATACCCAGAGCCCCACCATGTCGTTTCTGTCCAAACATTTAATTAGCATTTAAAAAGAAAGGGAGCACAACATAAGGCTTCTCAGAGATACTCAGTTGGCATGTTTCTACATCATAGATATCATCAGACTCATTTGGATAAAAACACCTCTGTTCGTTTTAATAAAATTACCATATTTTCCCCATTTTTATTTGGGCCATGTCCATTTGAAAAATGTTCTACTATGACTGACATTTCAAACGTTTTGTTTTGCTCTGGTCTGCTCACCCCCACCCCCTGTGCTGGAAATAACTGGAAGTAGCTCCAGCTGTCTGGATTAACTGGCAAGATACACAATAAGCACATTGTCATTTGTCTTTGGACTGAAATCATTTGAAGGTTCTAAATCCCAGACAGCAGTCACATTCAGACAACACACACAAGACGTTTTAAACAATGCATGATTATTCAAGGGAATTTAATAGTAAGGTTAGGAATTTCACTTTTATGGCTTCAGTCTCAGTTCAGGTGAACAGGAGTTCTAAATAAGCTAATTGATACTATTATATGATTTAATTGGCAAATGACAATGATATAACAAAGTTACCTATGAGAAATTGACATGAATAAACACACACCCATGAATACGCCCACACTAAAGACCAGGGGTCGGCTACTTTAACTGTTCTTACCTGCAGGTTTTGTATCTCCTGCCTCTGCCTGTCTCTCTGTTGGACCACACTCCTCTCCAGATACTGCCTCCTATCCTGAGCTGATGCCAGCTCATTCTCTAGGGCCTGAAGTTTCAGCTGGCTCTCAATCTTCTCCTGGCCCACCTGGGCCAACCGGGTTCTGGCCTGGTTTAGAGACTCCTCCAGGCTGTTCACCTGGCCCTGAAACACCATGGCCGCCTCATGCCACGCCCTGACAGCCATCTGGGAGTACTCTTCACCCAGCTCCTGGAGGCTGGGTAGCTGGGTGCCCGTTTGGGGTGGAGGGGGTGGCAGTGCAGGTCTGACATGGATTAGTGTAGCCTGGAAGCCGGCAACATCTTCCTGGTGGGTTTGTATCTGGAACTGGATTTGTTTCTCTAGCTGGCTCACCTTCTCTCTTAACCAGATCTGAGCCCTCCTCTCCTCCTCCATCTCCTTCCTGCTGTCTGCCAGCTTCTTCTTCACCTCCCCATGGGCGTCCGCCTCCCACTGTCTCTGCAGCCCCAGGGCTTGGAGCTCCTCACCCAGGCTCCCTAGCTCCAGCTCCACCCGGTCCTTCTCCCTCCAGGCTTCCTCCACCTCCTGCCTGGCCAGGCTCAGCTTGTCCTCCAGGCCCATCCGCCCCCCCTGGCCGCTGCCTCTCAGGGCCTGGATCTCCTGACATAGTAGCTTGTTCTCCTCCTCCAGCAGCCTCACTCGGCCCAGGTAGGTCTCCAGGCGTTGGTTGAGGTTCAGCATCTGGAGCTTGTCGTCGGTCCGGTGGCTGTGGTGGTGTCGGATGTTGTGGAGCTCCATGTCAGAGAGAGAGAGAGCGAGAGGAAAGATAGTGATGCTGGTTGAGTAAAGAGAGCCTCACTCTGGAGCGAGCAGTTTCTGTCAATGTGTGTGAGGTGCTGATTCGGTCTCTCTCTCCAAGCCTGTGTTTGAGGGTCAGAATGTGCTGTGAGGCTGCTTGCCTCCTGTAGTGTGACCGCTGGTGAGATACTCTCCTTTCATACTGGAATTAATGCAGGGGGAGGGCAGAGGGGAAGAGAGGGGAGGAGGGATGGAGAGGGAGGAAGAGAGGGAGGTGGGAGTGAGCAGTGATGTCATTTGGGGTTAACTCTAGCACTGCTGGAATGTCTTCTGCTTATTCACTGGGAGAAATTCACATTTTGATTGAATGATTTCTGTTATCTCTCTACAAGTACATATTTAGTTATTTTTATGAAATCATGTATTTCTTTACAGCAGTTTTTTTCTGATACACACATATTGTGCATAATTGTGAGACTATTGAATGTACAATATGTAAGGCTAAATGCAATAGCATGAATACAACACTCTAATACTGCACTGTAAATGGAGAGACTTGACAGGAAGCATAGAGGAAACATTTGTATTTGTACTAAGACAACTCCGATTGTCACATGTGGTGTATGTTTAGAAATCATAGGCTAAATCAATCTAATTGGATAATTGATTGACTGAATAAAGGATAGGACACCATCTTGATGTAGCTATTTCTCAGATCCATTTTGACCTCACTACTACCCTCTGGGGACAGTATTTCAACACGTCCATATTGTAGCAACTCCACTTCCATTCAACCTCGATCCTAGGGTTGGCTCAAAAGTGCACTGAAGATCTATTGCAGACTTATAATACATTAATTAAGATCTATTACAGACAACTGAGAAATGAATTACTACATTTTGTTAAGTCTTAGCAAGTCAGGGTAAACCAGTCAACCACAATGTGGATTGGCCAACTTCTCAAAAAACTACTCAATCAACAACTGATAGGAGGGTATGACAAGCCTTCAGAGGTATCCTCACAGTAAAACAAGTAAGCAGAGAAACTATTTCTGTTTTCAATTCACAGTTGTAGGCCTACGGCTTTCCATATAGATTTTCATATTGAGTACTGTAGTGTCATTCAGTACCATCATGACAGTACCATCATCACACGTCAACATAACTTCCTCCTCTCAGTCAGATGAAACAGTGTAATTGTTTCCTGTGACATGATTCATGCAAACCAAAGTCAAGGCAGAAGTACTAATACAGGTCCTACTAGGGATAAAAACAACAAGGGCCACCACCTCTCATAGAGATCAACACTGGGTAAGGTTTCTCTGTACTTGTATCTCTAAGAAACACACTGTTGATGAGAAGTCTAAAGGATGGCAGAAGAGCTGCATTATTCTCCCGTGGTTTTCAAGAATCGCGTTGTTTCTTCGCCGAAAGGTGAGTCTTGGCCTTTCTTTCTCATCTCTTCATCAATATCACTCTCTTTTAGTTCATTTCTATCAGTTTACAAAAATGTCAGTTCCAGACTGAAGACTATAACAATCACAATTGTTTGTGAATATTCAAATTGAAGGGTGCTTAAAGCAAGTGAGGCAGATATGCCAGCTATTTATGCTGAATCATGTTTTTTTGTCTTTGTGATGGCAAATCTACTCTGCTATTATGTTTTAATCAAGTATCTTTACAGTTAATCAAGTACAAATTACATTCTTAACCCATTTAATATCATGGGTCACAATAGCAAGAATACTTTGTTTGTACTTTACAGGCTCTGGAGAAGTTAAAGTTGTACTTATAATAAAATGTTTCATATTATGCATTATCATATCATTTAGACAAGTTTCATATGATTTCTCAAAATGTTCACAAGACCACAAGCATATTTCTCAAAGATGTACCTTTACAGACACATTTGGCACCAGAAGTCTGTATTCAACAGCTTTAAAAACAATACATTGAATCCCTGATGCTTGAGGTATATGAATTAATACAGTGTCTGTAATTTATGATACAGTGAGGGAAAAAAGTATTTGATCCCCTGCTGATTTTGTACGTTTGCCCACTGACAAAGAAATCATCAGTCTATAATTTTAATGGTAGGTTTATTTGAACAGTGAGAGACAGAATAACAACAAAAAAATCCAGAAAAACGCATGTCAAAAATTTTATAAATTGATTTGCATTTTAATGAGGGAAATAAGTATTTGACCCCCTCTCAATCAGAAAGATTTCTGGCTCCCAGGTGTCTTTTATACAGGTAACGAGCTGAGATTAGGAGCACACTCTTAAAGGGAGCGCTCCTAATCTCAGCTTGTTACCTGTATAAAACACACCTGTCCACAGAAGCAATCAATCAATCAGATTGGCCAAGACCAAAGAGCTCTCCAAGGATGTCAGGGACAAGATTGTAGACCTACACAAGGCTGGAATGGGCTTTCAAGACCATCGCCAAGCAGTTTGGTGAGAAGGTGACAACAGTTGGTGCGATTATTCGCAAATGGAAGAAACACAAAATAACTGTCAATCTCCCTCGGCCTGGGGTTCCATGCAAGATCTCACCTTGTGGAGTTTCAATGATCATGAGAACGGTGAGGAATCAGCCCAGAACTACACGGGAGGATCTTGTCAATGATCTGACCACACAATGAAAGTGTTGTGGTCAGATGAGACCAAAATCGAGCTCTTTGGCATCAACTCAACTCGCCGTGTTTGGAGGAGGAGGAATGCTGCCTATGACCCCAAGAACACCATCCCCACCGTCAAACATGGAGGTGGAAACATTATGCTTTAGGGGTGTTTTTCTGCTAAGGGGACAGGACAACTTCACCGCATCAACGGGACGATGGACGGGGCCATGTACCGTCAAATCTTGGGTGAGAACCTCCTTCCATCAGCCAGGGCATTGAAAATGGGTCGTGGATGGGTATTCCAGCATGACAATGACCCAAAACACAAGGCCAAGGCAACAAAGGAGTGGCTCAAGAAGAAGCACATTAAGGTCCTGAGTAGCCAGTCTCCAGACCTTAATCCCATAGAAAATCTGTGGAGGGAGCTGAAGGTTCGAGTTGCCAAACGTCAGCCTCGAAAACCTTAATGACTTGGAGAATATCTGCAAAGAGGAGTGGGACAAAATCCCTCCTGAGATGTGTGCAAACCTGGTGGCCAACTACAAGAAACGTCTGACCTCTGTGATTGCCAACAAGGGTTTTGCCACCAATTTTTTTTTTTGTTATTCTATCTCTCACTGTTCACATAAACCTACCATTAAAATTATAGACTGATCATGTCTTTGTCAGTGAGCAAACGTACAAAATCAGCAGGGGTTCAAATACTTTTTTCCCTCACTGTATATCATACGTTAATAGGTCAAATTGTATGTAGCAACTGCAGATTGCCCCTTTAATGTAATTATGTGCTTTTAACATGTCATACTGATACAGTAATTCCCTCTAAAACAGCTGTGAGAAATGGTCCTCTAGTAGTTGATTATATCACACCCCCACCCTCTTGTACGTGTGTGCGTGCGTGATTGCGTATACGTGTGTGAGTGTTTTAGTGTGTGTGCGGCATGTGTGTGTCTGGGACAGATTTTCACCAGTCAATGTCCATTGCTCGTGTTTCTTGGCCCAAGCATGTCTCTTCTTCTTATTGGTGTCCTTTAGTAGTGGTTTATTTTCAGCAATTCGACCATGAAGGCCTGATTCATGCAGTCTCCTCTGAACTCTCAACTTGATGTTGAGATGTCTGTAACTTGAACTCTGTGAAACATTTATTTGGGCTGCAATCTGAGGTGCAGTTAATAGCCGATTTTTGATGCTCTGCAGCAGAGGGCCAGTTTCATCATACCACTTGATGGTTTTTGCGACTGCACTTGAAGAAACTTTCAAAGTTCTTGAAGTTTTCCGGATTGACTGGCCTTCGTTTCTTAAAGTAACTGTTGTTTCTTGTTGCTTATATGAGCTGTTCTTGCCATGATATGGACTTGGTCTTTTACCAAATCGGGCTATCTTCTGTATACCACCCCTACCTTGTCAAAACACAACTGATTGGCTCAAACACATTAAGGAAAGAAATTCCACAAATTAACTTTTACTAAGGCACACTTTTTAATTGAAATGCATTCCAGGTGACTACCTCATGAAGCTGGTTGAGAGAATGCCAAGAGTGTGCAAAGCTGTCATCAAGGCAAAGGGTGGCTACTTTGAAGAATCTCAAATATAACATATATTTTGTTTTGTTTAACCCTTTTTGGGTTACTGCATGATTCCATATGTGTTTTTTCATAGTTTTGATGTCTTTACTATTTTCTACATTGTAGAATAATAGTGAAAATAAAGAACAACCCTGGAATGAGTAGGTGTGTCCAAACTTTTGACTGGTACCGTATGTGTGAAGGGATGCATAGACAATATGGACAGTATATGGATAGAATGTGTAGTATATCTGAAGAAAAGTATATGTACAGCAATAGTTAAATAGGATAGGCGTTGACTAGAATACAGTGTATACATATGAAGTGGGTAAAACAGTATGTAAACAACATTGTTGCAATACTGTCCGTTGAGCACAGCTTAAAATATACTGTGTTTCATATGATGGTTTCATCTGTCTATGAGAAGAACTGAACATTGGAGCTCTGACCACAAGCTCCTAAATGCCTGACCTTTTTACCTATCCAACAATCTTAGACAACCATTGAAGTCCTCATCAATCTTGTTACATATGATTTATTTATTAGAGGTATGGACTCATTGTGTAACCTGTCACCTATTGTCTGTTTGTCCTCTTTGCATTTTTTTTTGTTGTTGTTTGTTCTAATTTCTTCGCTCTCCTCTATTGCTGCATCCCGTTTCATTTTCTTTTTTTGCAGAGTCCTCCACGGTCTCTGATTGGTTGGTTTCTTTATCATTAGTGTGTTCCATCTCCTCAGCCACTGGAGCCTCCTCTTTGTTCTTGGACGACTTCTTGTTCGTTTTGTCACTGGGAGAAATTCACGATTTGATTGACATTACTGTTGTGTTTAGAAGACTGTCTCTGCATATACATTTGCAAGTATTTTATGTAATATGAACATAATGGTTTTAGTTTATCTGATACACACATATTGTGAGACTATTTTGTGTACAAAATAACTTCTCATCAAATTAATCTAATTGGGTAATTGATGGACAGAATAAAGGATTGGACACCATCTTCATTAAACAAGTGGTGTAGCTATATTCTCTGATCCATTTCGACCTCACTACTGTCCTCTGGTGACAATATTTCAACATTGCAGCTGCCCCACGTTCATATTGTAGCAACACCGTTTCCATTCTACCTCCTAGGGTTGGCTCATTAGTGTACTGAAGATCTATTGCATTCATATGGGACATTAATTAATATTACAGACAAATGGGAAACCGATTACTACATTTTGACACCTTAGCAAGTCTGGGCATTTCCTTTATCTTGTAACCAGTCAATGTGGCTTGGTCAACTTATAAATCAACCAGTGACTGGAGGGTATAGAGAGGGTACGGCAAGTCTTCAGAGGTATGCTCACACTAAAACAAGAGAGGAATAAAATAATCCTATTTCTGTTTCTGCACATAGTTACAGTGCATTCAGAAAGTATTCCGACCCCTTTACTTTTTCAACATTTTGTTACGTTACAGCCTTATTCTAAAATAGATTAAATTGTTTTTTTTCTCCTCATCAACCTATACACAATACCCCATAATGCCAAATCAAATACAGGTTTATGTCACATAGAATACAGCTTTTTAGTGAATTTCCATGAATAAAAAAAATAACAGAACAGTCTCAACATCGCATTTAAAAGAAATATCACATTTACATAAGTATTCAGACCCTTTACTCAGTACTTTGTTGAAGCACCTTTGGCAACGATTACAGCCTAAAATCTTCTTTGGTATGACGCAGAGCATATGAGCGGAGTGGAGCGAGCGTGGAGCGTGAGCGGACGGATTTTGAACAGAGCGCAGAGCGGCATTTTTAAAAGGACGGAGCGTCGCCCTATGTCCCGCTCCAATTTCGCTCGCTCACACCACGAGTCTGAAGCATGCTCAAGCCTGACCCAGAATCCATCTGTTTAATTTAATTTGTGTCGTCCATGAATTTGTATTTTATAGAGCGAGAGGAGCAGCAGCAGCAACAAGAGAAAAGGGTTGAGGAATTCAAAAGTGTATTCACTGCACGCAAAGGCCCAACCATAACAAGGGAGAGAAAAAGAGAGCTGGATGTAGCATTTTTTAAAATGATTTTCATGGACTATGAACCGCTGAGTAAAGGAGAACGCGAAGGGATGCAACACTTCGCCAGCGCAGCTCAACCGTGCTACACCCCCCCAAGAAACTATGATAAATCAGTACTTTACTTTGTCAAATTTACATCTGAGATGCCCCATTCACATGCTTCAGCTGGCGATCAAAAACGCCGTTAACGAGCACGACAACATTAATAGGCTGTTAGTGAAAGTCGGGCACCTGGTGAAAAGTGTACGCAAGAGCACAGAGGAAACCGAGCAATTAGGTGTCCGCCCCACAAATGCCTGCGCCATTCGATGGAGCAGCCAGCTGCGGATGATTCAGTCGTTCATCCGGTTGTTCCAAAAAGACCCGTTATGGCAAAACAAACTCAAGTCTAATGTTGCTAACATCACCCTGAATCAAGTACGGCAGCTGACGCACCTTGTCAGTGTGCTGACACCACTAGCAGACCTCACAGACAAAATGCAGAAGGAGCTGGGGAACCTGGGGATGATCCTCCCTGCTGTCACAGAAATCAAATCCCTGCTCACCGATTACACTCACGCTGCACTTCCAATGGGCATCGCTGCTTTTGCAGAAACATTGGCAAACAACGTGTCAATTCGCTATGGAATATACTATACTGATTAACATCTCATTTTAGCGTCAGTGTTAGATCCCCGTTTCAAGACAGAATGGATAATCCGAGATGAGTCTGTATGCAACAAATTCGGGGAGATAAAGTAAGGCTGTGGTTTAAGCTAAAAGTGAAATACATGCAGATTTTGTTCCTTTTTTGGAGTGAGCGGGGGCGATTTGAGTGGAGTGCGATGCAAACTGCGTTGAGCGCTGAGCGATAATGAGCGGACTGGCCTGATGTGGTTTTGAGCGGGTGAACAGCTCCGTGAGCGAGGAGCTGAGATTCTCACCGCTCCACTCCGCACATATGCTCTGGTATGACGCTACAAGCTTGGCACACCTGTATTTGGGGAGTTTCGCCCATTCTTCTCTGCAGATCCTCTCAAGCTCTGTCAGGTTGGATGGGGAGTGTCGCTGCACAGCTATTTTCAGGTCTCTCCAGAGATGTTTGATTGGGTTCAAGTCTGGGCTCTGGCTGGGCCTCTCAAGGACATTCAGAGACTTGTCCTGAAGCCACTCCTACGTTGACTTGGCTGTGTGCTTAGGGTTGTTGTCCTGTTGGAAGCTGAACCTTCGCCCCTGTCTGAGGTCCTGCGGGCTCTGGAGCAGGTTTTCATCAAGGTTCTCTCTGTACTTTGCTCCGTTCATCTTTCCCTCGATCCTGACTAGTCTCCCAGTCCCTGCCGCTGAAAAACATCCCCACAGCATGATGCTGCCACCACCATGCTTCACCCTAGGGATGGAGCCAGGTTCCCTCCAGACGTGACGCTTGGCATTCAGGCCAAAGAGTTCAATCTTGGTTTCATCAGACCAGAAAATCTTGTTTCTCATGGTCTGAAAGTCTTTAGGTGCCTTTTGGCAAACTCCAAGCGGGCTGTCATGTGCCTTTTACTGGGGAGTGGCTTCCGTCTGGCCACTCTACCATAAAGGCCTGATTGGTGGAGTGCTGCAGAGATGGTTGTCCTTCCGGAAGGTTCTCCCATCTCCACAGAGGAACTCTGGAGCTCTGTCAGAGTGACCATCGAGTTCTTGGTCACCTCCCTGACCAAGGTCCTTCTCCCCCGATTTCTCAGTTTGGCCAGGCAGACCGCTCTAGGGAGAGTCTTGGTGGTTCCATACTTGTTCCATTTAAGAATGATGGAGGCCATTGTGTTCTTGGGGACCTTCAATGCTGCATAAATGTTTTGGTACCCTTCCCCAGATCTGTGCCGCAACACAATCCTGTCTCGGAGCTCTACAGACAATTCTTTCGACCTCATGGCTTGGTTTTTGCTCTGACATGCACTGTCAACTGTGGGACCTTATATAGACAGGTGTGTGCCTTTCCAAATCATGTCCAATCAATTGAATTTACCACAGGTGGACTCCAATCAAGTTGTAGAAACATCTCAAGAATGATCAATGGAAACAGGATGCACCTGAGCTCAATGTCAAGTCTCATAGCAAACGGCCTGAATACTGATGTAAATAAGTTATTTCTGTTTTTTATTTTTAATACAAACCTGTTTTCGCCTTGTCATTATGGGGTATTGTGTGTAGATTGATAAGGAAAATGTTATTTTAATCAATTTTAGAATAAGGCTGTAACGTAACAAAATGTGGAAAAAGTCAAGGGGTCAGAATACTTTCTGAAGGCACTGTAAAGTAACAACAGGGCCTGGCCTGTGTTAAAAGTGTTTAACCTTTTACTGCAGTGGGATAAATCAGGGGCACACAGAGTGTTTCTAAGTAGTCTTAAACAAATCTACTTTGAAACAAAAGTATACACCTCACACACATAGATTTGGCCTTAAAAAAAGAAGACACCTGTACAATGTCAGATATAGAGTTGGAATATATTCAAATTTGAGTTTGCATCCCAATATTACACTCTATATACATCACAGAAGACTGAAATATAACAAAACCGCTTGACATAGAAACACTGGATTTTTGGCTGTTTAAAAAAATAATGTTTTTTAAATTATGAACAATATTAATAACATTACACCCATAAGGCCACTAGGTCATTTGACTGCAAGAAAGGGCTACAAAAGTACAAAGTGTTTGTTAGGTGTTAAGTCTGCGTTTAAAATATGCTTAAAATGATTAAAAGGCTAAAAGTGATTGTGTAGAAATGTGTTTGTGAAATAAAAAATTGAAATTGTTTTAGAAAGGTAGTGGTAATATTTCATTCAGTACAGAAATTTGTAGGCAGCTTAACATACATACCCTGTCCCGCCACTCAACGTACCCCATACCCGGGGTATCTTTGTTAGATAGAATACTATATGCTGAATGTAAAAAAAATAAAAAATGGCTCAACTTACCCCACTATCCCTTACTGAAGCTCTATTGCAGACATATGGGAAATGACTGTTACACATTTCTAAATATTCTGATGCCTTAGCAAGTCAGGGCATTTCCTTATAACTTGTTAACCAGTGAACCACAATGTGGGGCAACTTCACAATACACTTCTCAATCAACCAGTGACTAGAGGGTATGAGGAGGATATGGAAGGCCTTCAGAGGTATCCTCACACTAAAACAAGTGAGCAAAGAATTAGAGACACTCCGATTTCTGTTTCTGTACAAAACTATTTCTGATTTCCATTCACAGTTGTAGGCTTACGGCTTTCCATACAGCTTTTCATATTGAGTACTGTAGTGTCATTCAGTACCATCATGACAGTACCATCATCACACGTCAACATAACTTCCTCCTCTCAGTCAGATGAAACAGTGAAATAGTTTTCTGTGACATGATTCAAACCAGAGTCAAAGCAGAAGTACTAATACAGGTCCTACTAGGGATAAAAACAGAAGGATCCACTGTGTCATATACAGTAGATCAACACTGGGTAAGGTTTCTCCGTGCTTGTATCTCTAAGAAATAAACTGTTGATGAGAAGTCTAAAGGATGGCAGAAGAGCTGCATTATTCTACAGTGGTTTTCAAGAATCCCATCGTTTCTTCGCTGAAAAGTGAGTCTTGGCCTTTCTTTCTCATCTCTTCATCAATGTCACTCTCTGTACTGTGTAGATCTGGTTTATATTAGTATTGGGACTCAGTCAAAGGTGTAGACCTGGCTTACAGGAGTATTGGAGCTGAGATGCAAGTGAAGACCTGGTTAACAGTTTATGAGTATTCAGGCTTTGGCACATATTTAGACCTGGCTTAGTTGACTAATTGGGTTCAAGCACAGGTGCATACATCTTTTGAGCTGAGGTACAGGTGTAGACCTGATTTGTATGACTATTGGGGCAGAAGAACACCTATTCTTATGACAATTGGGGTATGTAGCAGTAGACCTGCATGTCTAACCCAATAGAAAGAAAACAGGTGTACACCTGGTCTGTAAGAATATTGGGGCTGAAGTACAAGTGTAGACCTGGTTTGTATGAATGTTGAGGCTTGGGTACTGGGTTAGACCTGTTTTATATGAGTATGCCCATGGTTTTACCTGGTTTATATCAGTAATGGGGTGTATGGATGCACAAGGCTCATATTGGGTCTGGATGGACGTCTATTGCCCATTCAAATCCTTTCTAGCAGCAAGTTTGTGGTAGGAAAAAAAGTGAATGGGGCAATAGTGTTATACCACTGTACAATGAGTTTATCTATGAAATGATTAGTGTATACAGGTCAGAGGTCACAGGACTAAGATATGCTAATAACAGGGTTGGGATGTGCAGAGAATAGCTGGATATAGGTTACTGTTGGTGACTTAGGGAATACAAGGCAAAGTGGGTAACAGAGCTGAGATAGGAAAGTAACAGGGACGAGGAGTTTTGGCAAAGAAGCTGGGGTCTATGAGTAACAAATAGGACATTTTTTAAGGATATGGGTGTATCAGTACTTAATTGTGGGTGTTAGGGTTAGGGCATGGGGGTAACAGGGCTGGGATGTGTGGGTAATTGAGTTTGGTTTGTGGGTAAGTGGACTGAGGTATATACAGTAGATATTGGAGCTGAGGGATAGAAGGAATGTCTGTTAATTTTATTATAGGCAGAGCACTGTACGTTCACATCGGTCACAATTGACCGAGAATAAAACATATGTTTTTACATACTTTTACATCTTTATTTTAAAAAAGCAATATGGATTACATGTTAGGTTTACTAATGGCATAATATTTGCATAGTGGCATGTCTGGCAAAGATTTGGTAACAAATGAGTTCGCAAATGGGTTAATATTATTGAATATGTATGTGTTGCCCTTTCTCTTCCCCACAGAGAAAAAAGAGGAAGAAACAGTATATGCTGAAGTAAAGGCTAAGGGAAGTGCAGTCACTCAACAAAGTCCTGCCATGACAGGTACATTTGAGAGATAGGGCTAGATTCAAACCGAACTGCGGAAGATCCGCGTTATTGTGTCTGAACGTCAATTTGGCATAGAGGAACTACGTCACTGCCTATGTGACTACCTTATCCGCTTGAATAAAATAAGAAATAGTAAATAGCAAAATGTAAATCAATTTCCTATTGACCCGACATATGCAGCATTCACCGTGAATTCGGTCTCCGCGATTTCCTTTACATTTCAATCACGCTGTAACGCGGATCTTCCGTGGTCTGGATTGAATCGAGGAGGCTATAGTCAAATTATCCACCGTTTATTGTTCAATTATTAGATTTCATAAAATTATGGAATAACGCTTACCATTAAATGTATACACTTATGCTAACAATATGGCTATAATAACATGAATCTTATCTTTACTATTCCTAGTGGATGAGATGCCTGCTCTCCATTCTCAACCCTTTCGAGGAGTGGCAGTATGTTTGGGGGTTGTTTGTGTCCTCTTGCTTTCAGCCATTATAGGCCTCTGTGTCTACTGTGAGTATATGGATCATAAAGTATTATGGATTTTGGAGGGGTGCAGGATGACATCATAGAGTAAACATGTCTTTCTCCACAGTCAGCACTGCCTTCTCAGAGCACAACACAAAGTTGGTGAGGGAACTGGAGCAACTAACAGATGCGCGTACATTTCTACTGGCGGCCAATCAGGTCCTTACGAACCTCAACAGCAATCTGAGTATAGCCAATCACATTTTGCAGAGTGATTATAGCAATGTAAGCACTGCAAACCAACGTTTAGTAGCTGAGAAAGAAGAGGTGTCAAGAGAGAGGGATAGACTGAACTGGACTCTTAGGGTCATATATCAGTTTGAAGATTTTCCTGTCAATCAATATTGTTCACCAAAAGATGGCGCAGGAGGTAAGCCTCCTTCCTGTTACCCTTGTTTTCATCATAATGTACACCACGTGTCAAACTCATTCCACGGAGGGCCGAGTGTCTGAGGGTTTCGCTCCACCCTTGTACTTGATTGATTAATTAAAGTCGCTAATTAGTAAGGAACTCCCCTCAGCTGGTTGTCTAGGGCTTAATTGAAAGGAAAAACCTGCAGACACTCGGCCCTCCGTGGAATGAGTTTGACACCCCTAGTGTACACTGAAGACAAACTTTGCACTTTGTATCTTACTCTCTAATATTGGTAATACGTATGTAGTATACTTACCTCATACTGTAATTCATCATTGTTGCAGAGAGAAAGTGTAACCCTTGTCGACATGGGTGGATGTTGTTCCAATCTAGTTGTTACCAGATTTTGTACCCTCCCGCTCCGTGGAACACCTGGGAACAAAGCAGAATGGATTGCAAACAAAATAATGCTGATTTGGTTGTCATAGGCAGTCAAAAGGAACAGGTGGGACAATGCTACAGACTAGAGTTTTGAGGGACAGATTCATTTGACATTTAATGGGGAACTCTACAAATTAAATCTCCAAAAAGTGAAATGGAACTATATTATAATGTGTGATATATAGATATGAGCTCAAGGTAAACCAGTTGTTACTGAAAGACAAAAGCACAAAGGTCATTACACTGCTGCTACCTGTTGTGCAGTTTGTTATTCTCTCTCATTTGGACCTGATTAGATGCATTTATTCATAACGTTTAGACACTGTCTCCCAAAACTGTGGATTACTGTTAAACACCGTTTTTTTCAACTACTTATGGTTTCATTCATTTCACATTCAGGAATTCATTCATAACCACACTCAATACTACTATGATAAAGATCATGGGTACTGGATCGGTTTAAATGACATAGCTAAAGTCGGCCAATGGCTCTGGGTTAGTGGAAGTCATCAGAATCTGACTGATGGGTAAGGACATTTTATTCAGTGTAAATCCAACAAAGAAGGATTGTTAAATCATTTTTTGATTCAGTCATTTCTTTTCATTCATGGAGGTGTTCTCTTTTCACAGGTTTTGGAAGAGACAAACTGGGGGTGATTGCGTGTTAACTGTCCCAAATAATGCACCTTTGGATAATTGGAATGCTGAATCGTGTAGCATGCAGAACCGTTGGATCTGTGAAAGTAGAGCATTAATATTGTCAGATGAAATTGCGGGGACACTCTCTTAAGAGGTATGCTCACATACTAAACTCATATTATTGCATCTTCCTTTGAGGGTTAAATTGAGTTGTATTCTTCTAATTTAACGACCCCTGCATCTGTTTGTTGCGGTCAATTCGAATTCACTCAATTCAGGAAGTGATTTTAATTTACATTAAATCACATTTTATTTGTCTGGTACACACATTTTGCAGATGTTATTGCAATACCTAACAATACAAAAAAATCTCACAAATCCCCAAAATGTAAATAAAGGAATTAAGGAATATCAGGACGATCAATGTCTAGGTCCGGAATATAAATATACATATATAGTGGTGTGTATAGAAAAGGTGTGTGCAGCTGTAGTTATATAGGATGAACCTTGACTAAAGTACAGTACTGTATATACATATGAAGTGGGTAAAACAGTATGTAAATATTGGAAAACGTTCATTGGCTGACTTGAATTCGAATTGACCCCAACAAGGGTCTGTTTTGTAATTTTTCACGTTAACAATCAAGGATCTGTTGTGATGTAGCTATAATGTATTAAAAAAAGTATGTTTTGTTTTGAGCTTTCATATAAATCAGGCACATTTTCTTTAATATCAATAACTTCACTTTGACAATAAATGAAGTAAAAGTGTAATAAATAGAATGGAAGTTACGTTTTTTATAAAATCACTCAGTTTTATAAACTATGCAATACTTCTAAATTAGCAGCTTTAGGCACTTGACAACATTTTTCTTTAAAGCGGCAATCAGCAGTTGACACAATAACAAAGCTTGTGTCCCGCCCCTGTTTTGGTAAAAAGCTGAGGGATGGGGCTGGAGAAATGTAACCACTGTCAAATTCATAGAAGAGCTATGGGTGCAAGGACTGACCACCCATGATATAAACTTTATGGTTGTAACCGTGTTATGAGTGTTTGTTTAAATTTTATTTGATTACAAACTCTGGAGGAAAACAAGCTTATATATTGGGTTGTGATGGAGAATGGCAGTTGAACTAAGCTCATGAGACATTTACAAGTTATATTCTTCAAGAATCCACAGGTACATATCATTAATTTATGTCCTAAAATGGATGAAGCAACTGCAGATTGCCCCTTTAAGCATCATGCAAATGTGTGACATCACAGATAAGTAAGGAAACCAAAATAAAACATGGACATTGCTGTGCTCATATCTAGCGACCTCATATCTGAGGTTGATATCCCAGTGTTTAGAGGTATATAAACACCAGTTGACTCAACATTTTTATTTATAATATCCATTTCACTATCAAGTCTATTGTTGAATTTTTGCAGGAAACAAAACAGCCTTTTTATGTTAACGGTGTTGCAATACTGTCCATTGAGCCCAGATTAAAATATACGGTGTTTCATATGATGGTTTTATCTGTCTTTGAGATGCAATGAACATTGGAGCTCTGACCAAAAGCTCCTAAATGGCTGACCTCTTTGCCTCTCCAACAATCTTAGGCAACCATTGAAGTCCTCATCAATCTTGTTACATATGATTTCTTTTTTTGAGGTATGGACTCATTGTGTAACCTGTCACCTATTGTCTGTTTGTCCTCTTTGCATTTTTTAGTTTGACCTTTTATTTTAGGTTCCTCCTCCACCGTCCTCACTTCCTCTCTCTCCTCTATTGCTGCATTCCGTTTATTTTTTAATTTTTTGGAGGGGAGTCCTCTACAGTTTCTGATTGGTTGGTTTTCTCTATCGTTAGTGTGTTCCATCTCCTCAGCCTCTGGAGCCACCTCTTTGTTCTTGGACAACTTCTTCTTTTTCATAATAGTGTCTGTCAGTCACTGGGAAAAATTCACGATTTCATTGACATTACTGTTTTGTTTAGAAGACTGTCTCTGTATAAGGAGCAATGACGTGTATTCATGGATGCCAAGAGAAGCCATGGTTCCCAAACAAAATGACCAAGAAAAAAAACATACATTTTTTTGTATCTTTCGTCTCTCTCTGTTTCATAAATGTTCTTCAATTCGCAAGAGGCTGAATGTATCTCACCGGAGAAAGCATCTGAGTGGACGAAACAGCACCCCTCAGTCTCAGTACAGTGGGGGAAAAAAGTATTTAGTCAGCCACCAATTGTGCAAGTTCTCCCACTTAAAAAGATGAGAGAGGCCTGTAATTTTCATCATAGGTACACGTCAACTATGACAGACAAAATGAGGGAAAAAAATCCAGAAAATCACATTGTAGGATTTTTTAGGAATTTATTTGCAAATTATGGTGGAAAATAAGTATTTGGTCAATAACAAAAGTTTCTCAATACTTTGTTATATACCCTTTGTTGGCAATGACACAGGTCAAACGTTTTCTGTAAGTCTTCACAAGGTTTTCACACACTGTTGCTGGTATTTTGGCCCATTCCTCCATGCAGATCTCCTCTAGAGCAGTGATGTTTTGGGGCTGTCGCTGGGCAACACAGACTTTCAACTCCCTCCAAAGATTTTCTATGGGGTTGAGATCTGGAGACTGGCTAGGCCACTCCAGGACCTTGAAATGCTTCTTACGAAGCCACTCCTTCGTTGCCCGGGCGGTGTGTTTGGGATCATTGTCATGCTGAAAGACCCAGCCACGTTTCATCTTCAATGCCCTTGCTGATGGAAGGAGGTTTTCACTCAAAATCTCACGATACATGGCCCCATTCATTCTTTCCTTTACACGGATCAGTCGTCCTGGTCCCTTTGCAGAAAAACAGCCCCAAAGCATGATGTTTCCACCCCCATGCTTCATAGTAGGTATGGTGTTCTTTGGATGCAACTCAGCATTCTTTGTCCTCCAAACACGACGAGTTGAGTTTTTACCAAAAAGTTATATTTTGGTTTCATCTGACCATATGACATTCTCCCAATCCTCTTCTGGATCATCCAAATGCACTCTAGCAAACTTCAGACGGGCCTGGACATGTACTGGCTTAAGCAGGGGGACACGTCTCGCACTGCAGGATTTGAGTCCCTGGCAGCGTAGTGTGTTACTGATGGTAGGCTTTGTTACTTTGGTCCCAGCTCTCTGCAGGTCATTCACTATGTCCCCCCGTGTGGTTCTGGGATTTTTGCTCACCGTTCTTGTGATCATTTTGACCCCACGGGGTGAGATCTTGCGTGGAGCCCCAGATCGAGGGAGATTATCAGTGGTCTTGTATGTCTTCCATTTCCTAATAATTGCTCCCACAGTTGATTTCTTCAAACCAAGCTGATTACCTATTGCAGATTCAGTCTTCCCAGCCTGGTGCAGGTCTACAATTTTGTTTCTGGTGTCCTTTGACAGCTCTTTGGTCTTGGCCATAGTGGAGTTTGGATTGTGACTGTTTGAGGTTGTGGACAGGTGTCTTTTATACTGATAACAAGTTCAAACAGGTGCCATTAATACAGGTAACGAGTGGAGGACAGAGGAGCCTCTTAAAGAAGAAGTTACAGGTCTGTGAGAGCCAGAAATTTTGCTTGTTTGTAGGTGACCAAATACTTATTTTCCACCATAATTAGCAAATAAATTCATTAAAAATCCTACAATGTGATTTTCTGGAGAAAAAAAATCTCAATTTGTCTGTCATAGTTGACGTGTACCTATGATGAAAATTACAGGCCTCTCTCATCTTTTTAAGTGGGAGAACTTGCACAATTGGTGGCTGACTAAATACTTTTTTTCCCCCCACTGTATGTTCAGTGTAAAAGCGTGTACTGAATGACAGAGTCATAGACCATTTAGGCAACATGAAAGAAGAGGATGGCATTGCCGTTTCTCTACAAGTAGGGTGAGTCAACATGTTTTTTCTACTTGTACACACACGCGCACACACACACACACGGTTTTCTTTGCAACTTGTGGTAACTCTCCGTGGTTCTAAATCAATAGTTGTTTAGTTGTCTGAAGATGTCGGAAACATTACCTTGCTTGACCATGCTGTAGGTCATGTAACTGTTTGTTACATGCAATATGTTTTGTGGACTTCACCGGACAGATGTTGCTCAACGGTTTTGTGTTGAAACAAAGGTGTGGTTGAATTTATTCTGCCACTGTGTCTTCTTATTGTCTCGGCCTATATATTACGGTGTGAAGGAATATGAACTAACAAGATTTATAGAGCAAACAACTCAATTATCACAACACATAGGTTGTAATACAGCAAGAAAATTCTTGATTGACTTCCCCAGTGATTTTACCCACGCACCGCTACTGATAAGGAGGGTATTAAAAGTCTTCAGAGGTATGCTCACATTAAAACAACAGAGTAATGAAAGACAATCCTATCTCTGTTTCTGCACATAGTTATTTCTGTTTCCCACAGCTGTACAGTTTTCCATATTGAGTACCACACAACGATGTTACTATCATGACACGTAAACATAACTTCCTGAGTCAAATGTGTGAATCTGTACAGTGACGTTTTTGTCTGTGAAGTAACCTCGTCCCCAGGTTCAATTGCTACAGAGAGAGAGCCAGCTGGGTGGAGATTATCTGTGAGTAATTAATGCAGACCAGAGTCAATCCAGAAGTACTTATACAGATCCTACTGGGGATAATAACAACATTAGTCACACTTGTAGAAAGAAAGCGTAACCAAACACGCTTCAGCTTGAACAAAAAAGGTAATAAGGTGCTTGACTGAGGGACTTGAAAATCCCCCAAAACATTCATCACCCCTGGACACTTCAACAGGTAAATAAATACATTTAAATAAACTGGAAAATAAAGAAAAGGCTGTTATGAATGCGTCCAATGCTGAAACGTAAGCCTGTTGCTTTAAATACAACAGATCAGTGCAGACAGAGAACTGAAGAGTTGCAGTATTCTACAGTGGTTTTAAAAAATCCACATTTTACTTCACCAAAAGGTGAGTCTTAGCATTTCTTTCTCTCTTCGTCTATCTTACTCTCTTTTAGTTCATTTCTATCAATTAAGCTAATTCTCACTGCCAGACCTAGCACTAAAACAGTTTTATTTAAATCACCATGTTTTTAAATATTCAAATTGAAGGATGCTTAAAACAAGCGAGCAAGTTATGCAGCTATTTATTCCTGATTATTTTCATGTTTGATCAATTCTGTGTTGGAGAACGTTGATGCCAAATGTATTGTAAATTAAGGTTTGATCAAGTACCTCTCTGTGACAAGTTACATTCTTACCACAGTAAAAACTAATTCAAATAATGGCATACTGTCAGATTCACTAATGAAGCATATTAAAATGTGGCTATAATAATTCACTCCTATCTTTGCTATTCCTAGTGAAGGAGGGCCTATTCCTAGTGAAGGATGGCCCTACTCCCCACTCTCAACCCTTTGGTGGAGTGGCAGTGTGTTTGGGAGTTATTTGTGTCCTGTTGGTGTTAACAATTATACCTCTCTGTGTCTACTGTGAGTATGTGGATCATAAAGACAAAATAATATGGAGAGGTGCAGGTTGAGTAAGCATGTCCTTCTCTCTACACAGTCAGCATCTCCCTCTCAGAGCACAGCGCACATTTGGTGAAGGAACTGGAGCAGCTAACAGATGACCATATATCCCTACTGGCAGCCAATCAGGACCTAATGAATCTCTACTGCAAGCTGAGTGCAGCCAATCACATTTTGCAGAGCGATTACATCAATGTGTCTACTGAAAACCAGCAATTGAAGGCAGCGAGGATGAACTTGTCAAGAGACAGAGATGGGCTCAATTGGACTCTTGGGGTCATATTTCAGTTGAAGAATTTCCCAGTTGATAACTACTGCCCATATAAAAATGCCAACACCAAAGGTAAAGTTTACATCCTAGTTAATATTTTCTCATTCATATGAATTGTCTCATATGCTGATGGTCCAGAATGTATGTCACAGTGATGCTTTATGTTGCTTTAAATGTCAAAAACAGTATGTAGCTGGTTGTAGTGGTCCTCTGGTGCTCAGTTGATAGAGCATGGCACTTGTAATGCCAGGATAGTGGGTTTCATTCCCAGGACCACTCGTACAACAAATGTATGCACGCATGACTGTAAGTCGCTTTGGACAAAAGCATCTCCTAAATGGTATATATTATTATTATATTACTTTGCATGTTTCATGTTGCACAGACAGAGAGTGCTAACCTTGTCAAGTTGGCTGGGTGCTGTTCCAATCCAGTTGTTACCTGTTTCTGCACATTAAAGTCCCATTTGGTCACCTTTGGAGGACCTGGCAAGGAAGCAGACAGCACTGCAAGAACAACAATGCCGATTTGGTTGACATAGACAGTCAAGAGGAACAGGTAGGACACTGCTACAGGTAAATGGGTTTAAGGGAGATTCACACAACCTTTAAAGGGTTACTCAAGCAATACAAATGTCCAAAAAGTGAAATAGGAACCATATTAAAATATGTGATATATAGCTACTGTATGTTCAAGGAAATCCCCTTATAACATGAAGTTCATTAACACTGCTACAACTGTACTCTTTGTTATACCGTATGAAAGTGGTACTTCCTGTTGTCTCGTTTTGTAGGCTAAGAATGGGCTTCAAATAAGACTTTTCTAACTTTCGCCGATGTGTCTTACTTCTTGAGCGTCAAATATTTTGATAAAAGGAATTGGGTATGAGCAAATCAATACATGAATACGAATAGAATTGTATATATATATATCTTATACACTGAGTGTACAAAACATTAGGAACACCTTCCTAATATTAAGTCGCACCCCATTTTGCCCTCAGAACAGCCTCAATTTGTCAGGGCATTGACTCTACAAGGTGTTCAGAAGCGTTCCACAGTTGACAATGCTTCCCACAGTTGTGTCAAGTTGGCTGGATGTCCTTTGGGTGGTGGACCATTCTTGATACACATGGGAAGCTGTTGAGTATTTTTTTTTAACTGCAACGTTGCAGTTCTTGACACACTCAAACTGGTGCGCCTGGCACCTACTACCATACCCTGTTCAAAGGCACTTAAATATTTTGTCTTGCACATTCACCCTCTGAATGGCACACGTCTCAAGGCTTAAAATTATTCTTTAATCGGTCTCCTCCCCTTCATCTACACTGATTAAAGTGGATTTAATCAGGTACTCCCGAGTGGCGCAGTGGTCTAAGGCACTGCATTGCAGTGCTAGCTGTGCCACTAGAGATCCTGGTTTGAATCCAGGCTCTGTCGTAGCCGGCCGCGACCGGGAGACCCATGGGGCGGCGCACAATTGGCCCAGGGTAGGGGAGGGAATGGACGGCAGAGATGTAGCTCAGTTGGTAGAGTGCTTGCAACGCCAAAATTGCGGGTTCGTGTCCCACGGGGAAAAAATGAAAAATAAAAATAATGTATGCACTCAGTAACTGTAAGTCGCTTTGGATAAGAGCATCTGCTTAATTACTAAAATGTAAATTTAACAAGTGACATGAATAAGGGATCATAGCTTTCACCTGGTCAGTCTATGTCATGGAAAGAGCATGTGTTCCTAATGTTGTGTATAACCACCTTTTCATGAATTTGATTATATAAGCTTGAAGCCCATTCAAAACAAGTAGGGGGCTGACAACAGGAAACAGGAAGTACTTTCATACCTTATTCTCTTTCATTTGGACCCGATAAGATGCATTTATCCATAACGTTTAGACACTAACGCTCCCTCCCAAAACTGTGGATTACTGTTAAATGCAGCCTATTTATTTATTTCTACTTGTGGTTTCATGAATTTCTCATTTAGGAATTCATTCTTAACACTCAAGCCCACTATGATGAAGTACATGGGTACTGGATCGGCCTGACTGACATAGCTGAAGACGGTCAATGGCTTTGGGTTGATGGACGTCATCAGAAACAACAAAGAAGCATGTTACCTAGAACAACGCTTCACTAAGGGCTGGATTCAATCTGTATCGCGGAAGATCCACGTTATAGCTCAATTGAAAATCAATGTTCCCACTTTCGAGACTGCATTCACAGTCAATGCTGCATGTCGGAAACCATTATCTTTAAATCTTAACGTGGATCTTCCGCGATACGAATTGAATCCAGCCCTAAATCATTATTTTATTTGGTTATGTTTTCTTTTCACAGGTTTTGGAAGCGTCAGCCTGTGTGGGGTCGTGATTATGCTTTAACTAACCCAAACAAATGCACCTTTGGCTAATTGGAATGCTGCATTATGTGGCCAGAGAAACCGATGGATCTGTGAGAGTAGAGCATTAATATGGTCAGGGTAAATTGAGCCACGTTCACACAGTCAAAGATGTATTGTAAAGCAGTATAACAAAAAACTATTGTGTAGGGCTTTCATAGGTTACATTTTTAATAAAATCACTTATAAACGATGCAATAATTCTAAATCAGCAGCTTTAATTGGCACTTCAGGAAATTCTTTAAGCATCATGCAAATGTACCTCACAACAGATAGTAAGGAAAGTTTCTTGAGCAAAGAAAATACATTACTGTGTTCATATGTAGCAACCTCATATCTGATGTTGATGTAACATTGTTTAAAACATCCATGTTGAGAACATTAACAATACAGGACCACCATACAGGCGGTTGGAATATATATATATTTTTTATACAGTCTGTAGTTGAATCTTTCCATACAAATAAATATGTTGACAAGAAACAAAACATCCTTTTTGCTTTTGCATGGTGTTGCAATAATGGCCATTAAGCATTAATAAAAAATATACTGCATTTCATTATATGGTTTCATGTGTCTATGAGATGCATTAGAGCGCTGACCCAAATCCCTGACCTGTTTCCTCTCCAACAAGGCAACCACTAGTCCTCATCAATCTGCTTTCTGTTGTTTAGCTTTATTCTTCTTTTTTAGAGGTATGGAGTCCGATACATTGTGCAACCTGTCCTCTACGGTCTGCTTGTCCTCTTTGCATTTTTTCTTTTTACCTTTTATTTTAGGTTCCTCCTCCACCGTTCTCACTTCCTCGCTCTCCTCTATTGCCGCATCCTGTTTCTTTTTCTTTTTTGGAGGGGAGTCCTCCACAGTCTCTGATTGGTTGGTTTCTCTATCAGTGTGGTCCATCTCCTCAGCCACTGGAGGCTCCTCTTTGTTCTTGGAGGACGACTTCTTCTTCTTCTTCTTCTTCTTGGTAGTAGTGTCTGAGTCAGTCTGTTGCTGAGTGGCACCTTCTCCCTCTGAAGCCTCTTCACTGCCTCCTCCAGCTTCACTCTCTATAGAAATGACAGCAGTTTCACACACCTCTCCATTTAGATGACAGCTCTCGCCCTCTTCCAACACCTTCCTCTTTTTTGAACGTTTCCTCTTGGTTGGCTGAGCGTTGTCTGCTGTATTATCCACAGGCATTAGTTCTTCAGGAACCACCACCACCTCCCCAGTGTTCTCCTTTGAACTTTCATTATATTTGTTCTTCTTCTTCTTCTTTTTCACCTTTACTTCCATGTTGGTACTTCCGGAGACCACAGCAGCATCAGCATTCTCTTCAGCCACATTCTCATGGGTATCCTCGGAGTGATTTTTCCTCTTCTTCTTTTTGGCCTTCTTCCCCTGGGTCTTGTCCGTCAGTTCATCCTCAGGGCTCTGGGCAGCTGGCTGGGTAGTGGTGACGCTATCTGGTGTTGCAGCCGCTAGTTGGTTTTTCTTGCCATACTTTGCCATGAACTCTTGCTCCTGCTGCTCCAGTCTGGCTAGCTTGGCACTCATGGTAAGGCCGTGCCTGGCTCCTCTGTTGGGAACAGAAATAGGGAAAACCAATGTTTAGCTTCCTTATTAAGACATGCAAGACCAGGTTCAAACTATTCATCAACAGCACGCACCAAGATAGACACATTCATGTGATTTGTTTATTATTTGTTTATGGTTTATAAAACATATTGGTGACAAGCAACTTACTTGTGAGCGGTGCGTCCTCCACAAGCCTTCACCAGGTCAGCGTCTGATAGTCTATGCAAAGGGAGAGGGAAATAGCATTTATTATTTAACCCTTTGAGTACATAAAACCACTGTAGTTAACACTGTATTGGTTTAATCTTCACATTGATGATATGAAAACAAATAAGCTTCACAAACTGATATTAATCCCTGTATGGTGGTGGGTTTTATTGGGCAGTGAGGTTCTTACTTGGTGGTGCTGGACAGGTCCAGTCTCTGGTCCTCATCGTCAGAGCTGCTGCTATCATCTGTACTGGAGGACTTCTGCTCCGGCTGCTCCAGTCCTGCCAGGAGGGTGGCAGACTAGGAGGGAGAGATCCATACACAAAATTAATAAGAGAAAAAACACAGTTACAGTACAGTCCATATCATTAGCCTAAGTGCAGTATCTTACTGTATTATCAAGAGAGCTCATTGGCACAGATATGGAAGTGTGTTCCAGTTGTATTTGTCCACCTGTACCTTGACAAAGCATCCATAAAGTTTGTCTCTTCCCAGCATTGCTTTCGTTGGCTTCTTGTTGGAGATCATTCCTTCCTCTTCCTCCTCCACCAACTTCTTCACCTGCACACCATTCTAGAACAGAAAGGTGGAGATGTAGCCTAGGCCCAATGTACAGTGAGGGAAAAAAGTATTTGATCCCCTGCTGATTTTGTATGTTTGCCCACTGACAAAGAAATGATCAGTCTATAATTTTAATGGTAGGTTTATTTGAACAGTGAGAGACAGAATAACAACAACAAAATCCAGAAAAACGCATGTCAAAAATGTTATAAATTGATTTGCATTTTAATGAGGGAAATAAGTATTTGACCCCCTCTCAATCAGAAAGATTTCTGGCTCCCAGGTGTCTTTTATACAGGTAACGAGCTGAGATTAGGAGCACACTCTTAAAGGGAGTGCTCCTAATATCAGTTTGTTACCTGTATAAGAGACACCTGTCCACAGAAGCAATCAATCAGATTCCAAACTCTCCACCATGGCCAAGACCAAAGAGCTCTCCAAGGATGTCAGGGACAAGATTGTAGACCTACACAAGGCAGGGCTACAAGACCTTCGCCAAGCAGCTTGGTGAGGTGGTGACAACAGTTGGTGCGATTATTCGCAAATGGAAGAAACACAAAAGTACTGTCAATCTCCCTCGGCCTGGGGTTCCATGCAAGATCTCACCTCGTGGAGTTGCAATGATCATGAGAACGGTGATGAATCAGGCCAGAACTACACGGCAGGATCTTGTCAATGATCTCAAGGCAGCTGGGACCATAGTCACCAAGAAAACAATTGGTAACACTACGCCGTGAAGGACTGAAATCCTGCAGCGCCCGCAAGGTCCCCCTGCTCAAGAAAGCACATATACAGGGCCGTCTGAAGTTTGCCAATGAACATCTGAATGATTCAGAGGAGAACTGGGTGAAAGTGTTGTGGTCAGATGAGACCAAAATTGAGCTCTTTGGCATCAACTCAACTCGCCGTGTTTGGAGGAGGAGGAATGCTGCCTATGACCCCAAGAACACCATCCCCACCGTCAAACACAGAGGTGGAAACATTATGCTTTGGGGCTGTTTTTCTGCTAAGGGGACAGGACAACTTCCCCGCATCAAAGGGACGATGGACAGGGCCATGTACCGTCAAATCTTGGGTGAGAACCTCCTTCCCTCAGCCAGGGCATTGAAAATGGGTTGTGGATGGGTATTCCAGCATGCCAATGACCCTAAACACACGGCCAAGGCAACAAAGGAGTGGCTCAAGAAGAAGCACATTAAGGTCCTGAAGTGGCCTAGCCAGTCTCCAGACCATAATCCCATAGAAAATCTGTGGAGAGAGCTGAAGGTTTGAGTTGCCAAACGTCAGGCTCGAAATCTTAAGGTGGGACAAAATCCCTCCTGAGATGTGTGCAAACCTGGTGGCCAACTACAAGAAACGTCTGACCTCTGATTGCCAACAAGGGTTTTGCCACCAAGTACTAAGTCATGTTTTGCAGAGGGGTCAAATACTTATTTCCCTCATTAAAATGCAAATCAATTTATAACATTTTTGACATGCGTTTTTCTTGATTTATTAGTTGTTATTCTGTCTCTCACTGTTCAAATAAACCTACCATTAAAATTATAGACTGATAATTTCTTTGTCAGTGGGAAAACGTACAAAATCAGCAGGGGATCAAATACTTTTTTCCCTCACTGTATATCCATCCTGTATGTGTGTGAATGTGTGTATGTGTGTGCGTGGCCTAGTGGTAAAATAATCTGTTTCATTTCACACACCACTTCTGAGGACTTACCTCGCCAGATTCCACTTCCAGGCTCGAAGATGCTTTGTTGAAGACGTGGTCCCACCAATGGAAGGTGAACTGCTCCCCTTGACGATGTCCCACCCCTCCCTTGTCACATTTCACTTTGACTTTGATAGCCTCCGATATACCATTCTCCTGCCGACCAAGACCTTTACCTGTGAACAGTGAGGGGTCTTCTATTAGTGGTAGAGTAAGAACATTAGATCTAACACGGAATTAGATAAAACTGGCAGCTACTACTAGTAGGGACGTCCAACATTCAGACACTATGGACAGACACTATGGAGGCTCTAGGGGACCTTATATAGACAGGTGTGTGTGTGTTTGAGAGCAAAACAATTTGTTTACTCTCTAAATGGTTAAATTAGTGAGAAATAGATGTCATTGTTGCAATAGTTTGTGAGTGGGCAACATATACAATCATCTTAAATTGACATGTTTAATTATTTTGCCATATTAAAATTGAATATTGCGCTAATTTCCCTAATGTGGACAGTTTTTTACTACAGTGCATTCGGAAAGTATTCAGACCCCTTGCATTGTTCCACTTTGTTACGTTAGCCTTATTCTAAAATTGATCGTTTTTTCCCCCTCATCAATCTACACACAATACCCCATAATACCAAAGCAAAAACAGTTTTTGAAATGTTTGCAAATGTATTTAAAAAAAACTTAATTATCACATTTACATAAGTATTCAGACCATTTACTCAGTACTTTGTTGAAGCACCTTTGGCAGCGATTACAGCCTCGAGTCTTCTTGGGTATGACGCTACAAGCTTGGCACACCTGTATTTGGGGAGTTTCTCCCATTCTTCTCTGCAGATCCTCTCAAGCTCTCAGGTTGGATGGGGAGCGTCGCTGCACAGCTATTTTCAGGTCTCTCCAGAGATGTTCAATCGGGTTCAAGTCCAAACTCTGGCTGGGCCACTCAAGGACATTCAGAGACTTGTCCCGAAGCCACTCCTGCGTTGTCTTGGCTTTGTGCTTAGGGTCGTTATCCTATTGGAAGGTGAACCTTCACCCCAGTCTGAGGTCCTGAGTGCTCTGGAGCAGGTTTTCATCAAGGATCTCTCTGTACTCTGCTCCGTTCATCTTTCCCGGGCGGCCAGCTCTAGGAAGAGTCTTGGTGGTTCCAAACTTCTTCCATTTAAGAATGATGGCGGCCACTGTGTTCTTGGGGACCTTCAATGCTGCAGAAATGTTTTGGTACCCTTCCCCAGATCTATGCCTCGATACAATCCTGTCTCGGAGCTCTACGGACAATTCCTTTGACCTCATGGCTTGGTTTTTGCTCTGACATGCACTGTCAACTGTGTGCCTTTCATGTCCAATCAATTGAATTTACCACAGGTGAACTCCAATGCAGTTGTAGAAACATCTCAAGGATGATCAATGGAAACAGGATGCACCTGAGCTCAATTTCGAGTCTCATAGCAAAGGGTCTGAATACTTACGTAAATAAGGTATTTCTGTTTTTTATTTATTAGTTTTCGCTTTGTCATTATGGGGTATTGTGTGTAGATTGACGAGGAACATTTTAGAATAAGGCCGTAACAAACAAAATGTGGAAAAAGTCAAGGGGTCTGAATACTTTCCGAATGCACTGTACCTTACATTTTCAACCCATAACATTTAGTGGAATTACACATCCTTTTACCTCAGATTGGTGACGCTAGTATTAAAAGAATATAGTAATCACGATGACATCAGATTGATTGCTTAAAGCTGATCAATATCTTTGGTTTTGTACCGTTGATTGTCACACGTGCTGGGATGCGCAGAACGTGCCGTTAATAAAATGGCACGAAAAATTTGGGGCAGTCACTCTATAAAAGTCGCTGGCCACACCAATGGATTTGACAGTCAAACTATCACTTAAAAAACAGCCAACCGTTGTCACTGTTGATATCCTATGGGTCTTGATAACCCAAACGTTGTGATTCGTTTAAGTTAACAGAAAGTGGTTCGTTCCCTTTTTCGTGATGGCAGCCTCCCGAAATCAACATACGACATTCCAAAATATAGATATAAGCCTTCTACAAGTTCTCATCTAACCAACCATGTACAGGTTATTCAAGGTTTCTGTGTGGCCTTTGAAAAGTGTTAGTTTAAACAGCGCTACACCCCAAACGTTTGCCCCCTGATCAACACTTCAAAATGTAGCTAGCTGTCTTCTACAAATTGTCCCTCTAACCAGTGATGTACACATTATTCCCAGAGTCCATGTGGTTTTCGATATGAGTGATTGACAAATAAGTGTTGCGTTTCTTTTTCTGTTTTGGCGACCCCCAAATCAAAATGCATCCCCCCAATGTAGCCCACTGTCTTCTGCAGGTTGTTCTCTAACCAGTGATGTAAAAATATCTCCAGTTTTCATGTGTTTTTTAGTTTCAACAGCGCGTACAACCCGATTTCCCCCCTAATCGATTTCAGTGATTTTTTGCCATATTAAAACAGGGTTTTTGGTGCATGTGCAGTTTAAAAAGATGCCCATTAAAAAAAAATCTAAGTAACATTATTACCAATTGTTGCACATGTATGATAGTACATTTTATGCTTAGGTTTTCAAGATATCACAAACTGTTTCTGCATATTGGTTATTGATTTGGACAGCATCATTTTCAACATACGTTTTAGGAATATAAATGTAACTTTCAACATTCCTTTCCAATGGTATTGTACTTAAATCAGGTAAAAACTGCTGAATGAGTCCAAAAACGTACTGTGATGGATTTCTTTCGATGATATACCAGAAATCACCAAAACGGGTTTGCCCTGCCTACTAATGTACTAGCAAGTTCAAGCTGACATATGTGTCGTAGTCCCCTGTAGCTCAGTTGGTAGAGCATGGCGCTTGCAACGCCAGGGTTGTGGGTAAATGTAAAATGTGTACACTTGATATAGAAACTCCTGCCTGTAATCTTAAGATGTTAATTAGCTAGCACATTGTCCATAATTAATTTACTATACTGTTACTAAATACATTTCTGAACATGTAACATTAAAGTTACCTTGTTCCCAGCCATGACGCAGTAGCTGTTGCTCTGCAAACTTCAGTCCACGGCTCTTTTCCTGAACAGTTTCTGCCATTTATTTCTAAAGAAATGAACATGTTAGCTAGCTATATTACAAAGCATTTGTCAGGTCTTCAGTCTCAGATGTCAACATTTATGTATTAGATACTTGAACAGTAATGCACAAAGAATACATTATTTTCTAAAATATAATATACAAATCCATTTGCAAGTCCCCAAAAAAAGACTGCTCAGTCAAAGTTCAGTTTGGGTTTTGTTAATGTCAGCTAACAAGCTAGCTAGTTTTAAGAAAACGTTTACACTTGAATGCAAGTCATTACTGTGCTTATAAGGGCTGACTATGAAATCATAAACAACAACCGGGGTAATGGAACTAGTTATTTTACCTATTGTCTGGTTATTTAGCCTCACATCGTCGTTCAAAAGGGATAAATTAAACGTTTTCACAATTCTACAGGAGCCATGAGGTACATTCAGCAAGCTGACATGACGCCGGAAGTGACTACACTTCTTCTTCTTCAATGAGGTTTAGCGGCGGTTGGCATCCAATTAATATGGCATTACCGCCACCTACTAGACTGGAGTATAATGCCCTTATACTTTGCTGGAAAATACAAAATAAAAATAAATCAACAAATACCCTGCCATCTAACCCTACACTCACCACCCTACTCCACTATTTAAATCTTTCTAGTCCTACCTCAGGCCAAAAGCCTGAAAGGACGGGTCACCACCATGCAACACGCCCTGTAACTCTTCTGATGTCAAGTCTCATACACCTAAATACCTCTCTGCAGCTGCCACCACAACCTCAATTTTCTGCGACTTACATTCCATCCCTGCAATACAGTTGAAAACCATTGCTATAAATGCTAAAAATCCAATCTTACTGAAGCATATATCACTGGTTGTCCTATCCCCCTGTACTGGTACAGATCTACTACTCACACCACTCAGGATCCCTCTCCCTTGACCCATCTTCCTCTACTTTCTTCACTGCCTCAGCATACAGCACTACTCTAACCCTGGAAACCTCAACCTGCCTCTTTCGCACCGGACATTTCTGATCCATAGCCCCATGGGCACCCCTACAATTAACACATACCCCTACTTTCCCCAATGCTACACATTCCCTTGTCTCATGCCCATCTGCACACTTCTCACACCTAGGAACCTCCCTCCTACACACTGCTGCCACATGCCCATAAGCTTGACACCTGTAACAACATAATGTACAGTACCAGTCAAAAGTTTGAACACACCTACTCATTCAAGGGTTTTTCTTTATTTTTCTACATTGTAGAATAATAGTAAAGACATCAAACTATGAAATAACACATATGGAATCATGTAGTAACCAAAAAAGTGTTAAACAAATCAAAACATATTTTAGATTTTAGATTCTTCAAAGTAGCCACCCTTTGCCTTGATGACAGCCTTGCACACTCTTGGCATTCTCTCAAACAGCTTCATGAGGAATGCTTTTCCAACAGTCTTGAAGGAGTTCCCACATATGCTGAGCACTTGTTGGCTGATTTTCCTTCACTCTGCAGTCCAACTCATCCCAAACCATCTCAACTGGGTTGAGGTCGGGTGATTGTGGAGGCCAGGTCATCTGATGCAGCACTCCATCACTCTCCTTCTTGGTCAAATAGCCCTTACACAGCCTGGAGGTGTGTTTGAGGTCATTGTCCTGTTGAAAAACAAATGATAGTCCCACTAAGCGCAAACCAGATGGGATGGCGTATCGCTGCAGAATGCTGTGGTAGCCATGCTGGTTAAGTGTGCATTGAATTCTAAATAAATCACTGACAGTGTCACCAGCAAAGCACCCCCACACCATAACACCTCCTCCCCCATTCTTCACAGTGGCAACCACACATGCAGAGATCATCCGTTCACCTACTCTGCGTCTCACAAAGACACGGCGGTTGGAACCAAAAATCTTAAATCTGGACTCATCAGACCAAAGCACAGATTTCCACCGGTCTAATGTCCATTGCTTGTGTTTCTTGGCCCAAACAAGTCTCTTCTTCTTATGTGTGTTCTTTAGTAGTGGTTTCTTTGCAGCAATTCGACCATGAAGGCCTGATTCACACAGTCTCCTCTGAACAGTTGATGTTGAGATGTGTCTGTTACTTGAACTCTGTGAAGCATTTATTTGGGCTGCAAGCTGAGGTGCAGTTAACTCTAATGAATTTATCCTCTGCAGCAGAGGTAACTCTGGGTCTTCCTTTCCTGTGGCGGTCCTCATGAGAGCCAGTTTCATCATAGCACTTGATGGTTTTTGCGACTGCACTTGAAGAAACTTTCAAAGTTCTTGAAATTTGCTGGATTGACTGACCTTCATGTCTTAAAGTAATGATGGACTGTCATTTCTCTTTGCTTATTTGAGCTGTTCTTGCCATAATATGGACTTGGTCTTTTACCAAATAGGGCTATCTTCTGTATACCAACCCTACCTTGTCACAACACAACTAATTGGCTCAAACGCATTAAGAAGGAAAGAAATTCCACAAATTAACTTTTAAGAAGGCACACCTGTTAATTGCAATGCATTCCAGTTGACTACCTCATGAAGCTGGTTGAGAGAATGCCAAGAGTGTGCAAAGCTGTCATCAAGGCAAAGGGTGGCTACTTTGAAGAATCTCAAATATAAAATATATTTTGTTTTGTTTAACACTTTTTTGGTTACTACATGATTCCATGTGTTATTTCATAGTGTTGATGTCTTCACTACTATTCTACAATGTAGAAAATAGTAAAACATAAAGAAAAACCCTTGAATGAGTAGGTGTGTCCACATTTTTGACTGGTACTGTATTTGGCACAAAAGCGCGTACAGGATAACTCACATATCCTAACATCCCTTTGTCGGGCAAAGACTCAACATCAAAACTCAAAAGAACAGACAACGACTCTTCTGTTTCACCACTCACGCCACCTTGTCTGCGTAGCACCAAACAACGAGCATCACAAACACCGGGAATCTTCCCCTTCAGTTGAAGTGACTAAACACCATACATCACCTGTGGTGTATTCCTTACGTTTCTTAAACGGAAGCAAACGGAACGAAACGTGGAGGGAACTAGCTGAATTTGGCCAATAGAAACTCTGGAATGGTATCAAATACATCAAACACATGGTTTCCATGTGTTTGATGCCATTCCATTTACTTCGTTCCAGACATTATTATGAGCCGTTCTCCCCTCATCAGCCTCCACTGGTTTGGACTAATGATTACACCACCGACGAGCAGAATCGGCAACGTTCTGAACTTGTTCCCAGTTTTAGTTGATTAGAAGTGGTTTTGAACATGCAAATAATCATTCTTTAATTGGTAAATGTTGTACTTGCGAACTGAACAGAGAATGTATTGCATAACCATTCCAATATCAACCCTTACCCAATACATATGTGAAACTCACAGGAGGCTGCTGAGGGGAGGTCGGCTCATAATAATGGCTGGACGGAGCTAATGGAATGGCATCAAACACATGGAAACCATGTGTTTGATGTATTTGATACCATTCCACTAATTCCGCTCCAGCCATTACCACGAGCCCCTCCTCCCCAATTAAGGTGCCACCAACCTCCTGTGGTGAAACTACAATACTTTATCCTTCCAAGAGTGGACTCTTGATTAGCCTGTCACAGTTCTGACAGTGGGCCTACCTGCCCCCTTGTTCTTGCAAACCTGCCTCCTAAGGCCCCAATGGAGAAACCCCATGTTGGGGCCCCAGAGAAAATTGCATCAAGTGTACAATTTTTGCACGTTTCTTATAATTATGGAGTTAGAATTATGAAGCTATCAAGATGTTGTAATTTTTTTAACTTATCATGCTTTGAAAATGTCTGATTCATAATTACAGTTTTTCTGATTCGCTAAAACACTAAACCCCATTCTCTGAACCAAATGCTCAGTGGCCTAAACCCATTTGTCGAATCAATCAGTCTTTTTGCAAAACTCTAAACACATTCTCACTCACTAAAACACATTTCGTACTGTGATGCACTTGTGTCACAAAATGGTAAACACAGGCAGCAAAAGTTAAACACAACTACAACACACTTGTCATCGTTAACACACAACGACTCCAAATTGTTCACACTTGTTTCTAATGATGTGATCAAACCAATTGTACAGAATATAAGCCAGTTCAGAGTGCAAAGGTGGCACAGGTGCGTTGAATGTTGATTCCAACAATGGATGGAAACAATCTGAGAGGCAGAGGAGGAAGAGTACGTGTAAGAGGTGGTGGAAGAGTACGAGGAAGAGCAAGACCAAGAACAGTAATTTCAGAAGAAATTCGAGCAACTGCGATTTACCATGTTGTTCATGGAATGACAATGAGGGAAGCAGGACAAAGAGTACAACCCAATTTGAGCAGATTCTCTGTGGCCACCATAATCAGGACATTCAGAGAAGAGAACAGGTAATTGTTTATTTTTATTTTGGTCATTGAAAGTTTACTGTATACATTTGATTCAGTACATCACTTTGTCAATAGAAAGGGGACTGGGGGAAAAAAAATATTAATTTTCTTACCATACAATATTTTACGTATAGAAGTGATGTCCATTATTATTTTTACTGTATGTATACGTTTAAATGCATTTTCCCTTTTTGTAGAAATACAAGACTACCACATGAGGGTGGAAGGCCTGCTATGTTCTCCCAACAGCAAGAGGCTCTCATTGTTGATATGGTCCTTCAAAACAATGCCATCCGACTGCGTGAAATACAGCAAAGAGTTGTTGAACACAATGTAAACTTTGAAGGAATCAACAGTCAGCCTTTCTACCATTGACCGTGTCCTCCAGCGCAACAGGGTACGCATGAAGCAAGTGTAGAGTACCCTTTGAGCGCAACTCAGAAAGGGTCAAAGATCTACGATTTCAGTATGTGCAAGTGTACACTCAGACACTTCCAGCGCTGACGCTTACAGTGCTATGCTACTAGTCTACTGTTACTGTAAACTGCACTATGTTGTAGCGTATGTAAATCAGGAGTGCATACAAATGCACTATTGCAGAAGTATGTCTTTCTGTATC